ATCCTGTCAGTCATAGATGCTTCACAGGAGTTATAGTTTTCTAAAAACATTGATAAAGCCACTAAATTTGTTATTATATCTGCATTAAGCTACTTATGAGCTGGCATATATTCTGACACCTATATGTGTGATAAGCTAATATTGGTCAATATATCTACCTGACTAATTTATCACCCTACCCCAGTTAACAATTTTTAAACAATTTGGTAACTGATTAGTATGGCACAAGAGAGATGTAAAAATCATGTTAAGGTTTTACTGAAAAGACTGGCAGTTGCATCCAACTGTTATTTTCTGAAGCAAAAACTAATACAAACTTGAATTTGATAACGATAAATATTCATTATTTAACCTAACAGAAACAACCATTTTTTAAAAGGAACCCTTGAATGAGTTGTGTTTAAAGAACTCTGACCAAAACATGTGCTGCTTGGAACATTTCACGTCTCTAAGTTAGAAAAATGCCAAATATTCAATGTTACCAGCCACTCAAATGTGAGCTTTTCCTACTTTACTCTTATTTAGATCATTACACATTGAGTATATTTGGTTTTGGACTGTTTGCCAGACAAAAACTAACCGACTTTTAGAAGTCCGTGTTTTTTTCTGATATTGTATAGACTATTTTACTTGAATTGATTCAGAACATACTCAGGAGTTGCTTCTAATTGTGTTATTCATGTCGGGTCAGTAGTTATACAACTGCAATAACATTTAATCAGCATCAACTTTGATAATAACATTAGGCAAAGGTAAGACGTGGGATATATAAATATATGTGTTTATAAACGATTTTAATTAAATATATTTGGTTTTAGACCGTTGGTCAGACAAAAGATTTAAGGAGGTCCTCTAGAGTGTGGTGGGTATTTTTACTGATATTTTATAGACTATTTTACTCTTAAAAGTTGTGAAAATACTCATTGGTTGACCATGGTTATGTTATTTATGTCAGGTCAGCAGTTACACAACTGCAGTAACATTTAATCATCGTCAACCTTCATAAGCAGATAAGCTGAAGGTAAGACTGACCATATTTGGAAAACCGACAGCCTTACCGGATATGAGCCGTCTGCCTGTAAACAAAGGCCACCGTCACTAATCTTACACTCGGATATCCACCGGGAATTTTCCACCAACTGCTTTGTCACCATTTGACGGTGTAATTCATCGTTATTAAGGTGTCGTTTGACTTAAAATGTCGGAACAACTGTTACAATTGAGTTCAATGGAAGGTCAAAGCTACCTGTTTAATTAACCAACAAATAGCAAGCTGGCAACATGGTTATAAACTGGGACGACCGATATATTTTATTCACACCAGATAATATAATCTTAACGGAGTGTTCTGCTCATAGGCCTACCTTCACCAGTCGCAATATATCAGACACGTCCCTGGGTTCTGCTTTTCGTAATTTATACTCCATTTTCTTCTTTTACTCTTTTTTCCTCTTGTTAGAAGTCCTCTGTATGTGAAGTGGAAGATTAATTGTTTCTTCATTCGCTTCAGAGTGGCCTTTCCCCCACAGTCAGCCTCTGGTCCGGACGCTTGAGTCTAGACAAGTACATCCAGTGGTGTCACCCTCGGCTGGGTCGCTGCCGTTCAACTGCTGACTTCTTTGTTTACATCGCGATATTTATACCCGGCTCGCGCTGAAATGCGGTTGGTCAGTTCCCACAACTTCTCGCTTTTCTGACGAATCCGCAGCGCCCTCTGGCCTTTTTATAGCCAATCGGGCAAAAGGTATGCTCACGTGACGCGTCTGTTTTCATCCTGTGCGTTTGTTATTGCCAGAGAAGGCAGTAACTTGGCAAAGTATTTTATACGTCAAGCAGTGGTAAAAGTATGTAAAGTAGCAATAACACAGTGTAGAAATACCTACAAGTAAAAGACCTGCATTCAGAATCTTCCTCAAATATAAGCACAGAAGTATTAGCTTCAAAATATATTTAAAGTAGGCTACAAAAAGTACAGGTGCTCATAATGCTTAATAGCTCATTTCAGAATAATGTATATTATATCATTTTATTTAATGTTGCAGCTGACAAAGGTGGAACTAATTTAAATACTTTATATACTGCTGGGAAGCATAACCTATAATAACATCTTATTAGCTGATTTATATTAGAGGTACAAAGCAACATAAAATGGAAATACTCAAGTACCTCTTAAGTGTATTTAGGTACAGTACTTCAGTAAATGTACTCAACTAGTTTCCAAAACTGAAATTTAAAGTCAAAGTTTAGGATTTTTACCGGACTTGAGTTAACATTTTGTTATTGCTTGTATTACACAAGTGGAATTTTCCACCTCTCACAGACAGTAAGGTGACAGGAGGATAAGCTACATCACCGTTACAACCCTGTGATATGTTGGAAAGAGTATTCAGATCATATATTTAAAGTGGTAGGCCTACTCTAGTAGCGCTCTCTACTTGCTGCTTTGCTGCATGTCATCCCCTCCCTGTCCCCCATTCACGCCCAGACTGTCCTATCTAATAAAGACATTAATCAATTAGGGATTTCATCCAGATTTATTTTAACTGCATGATGCTGAGATAAGGCAGTGCAGGTTTGCATCTAACCAAAGGTACATAGGGTGATAAGGTGCAAAGTATACAGAGTAAACAATAATGCAATAATCTCCACAGTGTACTGTGAATCTTTGTATGTAGTTGTTATCATCTATTTTATACTGTAGTGTGTGTGTGTGAGTGTGTATGACCGCATGTGAGTGTGCATGTGTGTGGGGATGGATGGAGGGAGGGTAGAGCATTGTGCTACTCTGCACAGTGACTTCTGCTGGGATTTTATGCACCATGTGTATTCTGTGTTTGATGTTTATGTAAAGAGCCAAGTGTGACTGTAAGCTGCGTGTTGATGTGAGACGCCGGTACTTTTTTCGTATGCCCAAGATGAATTTCTCTTGAGAGACAATAAAGATCAACCATAACCTTAATCTTAGCGGTTAGACCCCTCACACCCAAAAATCCATTCTGTCTAATAAAAAGCAAACAGCCAATGAAAAAATCTTAAATCACAAGAGTTCACAGCAGATGGGCAGAAACAGGTGCAGATAGCTTCTTGACAACCTGTCCAACCCTGCCAGCTCCAAGGCTGGGAAGCCAAACCCAACCTCAGGAAAAGAATGCGGAGAGAGGGAAGTAAAAGAAAAACAATAACAACTGACCTGTTGGGGATACAATCCTGAAAAACACTACACATCACCCTGCTGGTTACCTAAAAATGTTTAGGAAGTGTTGTACCTGCCAGTGTGGAGATTTTAAACTATAACCTCTGCGTCCTCAAGCAAATGACTTACTCACTGCACCACTAGGAATATATAGTTCCTTATCCCTTTCATGCATAGTGGTCACTACAGTGGACAGCTATTTAAAAGCCATTTTCGTGTGTATGCATGGGTTTTGATGCTATAGTTGCATTTAAGTCACTAGAGTGGACCATTGTGCGTCATGCTATACACTGCCACCCATTGGACAGGTGTCGTCAGTGCAACACAAGTCTCTCAAAACCAAGATGGCTGACAGAGTGCATGAGATGTTGTGCAGCTCAAGAATATCTTGCCCATCCTTCTATAATAGACACCCTGGTACGGCTGGTAGGTAAAAAAAAAACAACTGGCAATATCAAGTAACATCTAAGGAGTAGGCCTAATACTGTTGCTAAATTTTCCAAGTATTAATTTTATGTTGCGAGGAAACTACAATTAATCATCTGTCCACTGAACTGGACATCATGCATCGCTGGCCTCATTTGCAGTGATTTTCTGAGCTGTAAATCAATTGATTTATCTTAATAGAATGTAATTTACAGTTTTTGTAACATAAACAGTATTTTGACAATATTTTTGATATTTCTGCAGAAAATGTTCATCGAAAAAAATTATATAGGTCAACAGGAGGAGGTGGGTGAGGGTTGAGGAGTGAAAAGGATGGAGCTGAAAGACGGAGGGCACAGGAGGGAGGACTAGAAAGAGAGAGGGGAGATGCTTAGGAGTCAGGAGCAGAGTTCAATGCTTTTGCATGGCACTGAACAGTGGCTATATGAACATGTTAAAAAATGTGAACACAGTACTTTAACAGCATCAAAAATATATTTTTTTTATAGTTTCACATGATATATGTCATTTTTTAAACTGGTTTGTATTTATTCAGATGCTGTCCAACTGAGTGGACATGTAAAAATAAAAAAATAAAATAAAGAAATTCATGTTGAAAAAAATGAACTTCATAATTTACCTTTTCATGCCTAAAGAGGAATAAAACACTCAAGAAAATAATAAGTCATAATAATTCTTGCATGAAAGAGCTGAACACCTTCTGACAACTTGACGCAATGATGTCGCATGCAAAGCAGGTGTTTTTTTGTCTTTCTAGTCTTAAAGCACTTACTACAGTCAAAGCGTTTGTTATAAAATTCTGAAAAAAATCACATCATTCTACTAGTTTCAGGTGTACTAGCCTTTTTGTTGGTCAAATCAAAAAGCAGTTTCATTAAGTGTTCAACATTACTCAGAAAAAAACACCACTATGAGGTTTATTACTGCTAAACTTACAGTTATGGATAAAGTCCTTCCAGAATCATTACTACATTTATTATAAAAAGTTTTGTCTTCTTTTCGTGGATACTTGAAGAGACCAAACACCAAGTCTTTAGGGATATGGTCCTTGATAAATCTGCAAATGTCCTCCAGAATTTCGTGGTGTGAGAACAATGCCAAAAAAGGTGTAAAACATTTTCAGAATGTTCATCACAGAAAGAGCAGTTTGTGTTCATGTCTGTTTTATATTTCTGCATGTAGTGATTGGGCAGGGTAATGTTTATGAATAAATTGAAAGGACACCCCCTTAACCGTATTCACAATTAGATATTTATAAGGAACCAGCCAAACCCTCTTCCAATAGTATCAGTATCAGGGTAATCGAGTATATGAATTGATAACGGAGCGTCTTACGTCATCCCGTAATGGGCGGAGCGGAACACAATCACGGAAGCACTCTGGCGTCGCAGGGCACCGGAGTACTGTTATTTGCCTCCCTTTCTACCGATCTCACCGGCTGTATTTGGACCCCTGAACCTTTAACGGCGACACCTGAGATACCGCAATGCTCTCACCGAGGTCAGTGTGATTAAAAACGCACCTCCAACTTCTGTTGATGCTGCTTGAAATTTGCTAATTCCAGACGCTAACCGTTAACGTTAGCATATTTACGAGCCAGCTAATTAGTGGTAGGAATGCTAAGCAGCCTGTCAGCTACCCGTGTCCATGATGTGTTTGTTTGTAGAGTTGTTTTACGCTGTCTTAACATTAACATAAAGAACCCAGCTCAACCTGGGCATAGTGAACCAGGCCCAAACAGGGTGGGGACTGGTAGTATACATAAAGGGTGTGTCATGTTCATACCAAAGCCAGAAAAAAAGTTGTTACCCAAATGGTACAAACAGCACTGTGGAGAAATGTACTTTTCTATAGTTTTTCCATTACTGTAAAGTCACTGTAGCAGGGCAAACTAGTGCATATAAAATGTTGTATAAAGTGCAATAATGAGCCGTTAAAGGGATGGTTCAGTTTTTTAAGTGAGGTTGTATTGGGCACTTAAGTATAGTCAGTGTATTACATACGGTAGATGTCAGTTGGCACGCCCCCAGGCTGTTTGGAGACGCAGGATGGAGTCCAGCACAGAAGCTAAGCAATCTCCTGCTGTGGATGGAGGTCAGCAACAAAATGTTTTTTTACCACCTTAAAAAAGTCCCACCTAAAAAAATCAAAATCAATCTAAGTGTACACCATATAAAGAGTCCACTGAGAAAAATAGCAATGTTACCTTGTTGAACTCAAGAGCTGCTGGTCTACTGCTGCTTTGATCAGTTTATTAGTGTTACTGTGTGACCTTTGCGAATCCAAACTAACTCTTTAAAACTCCAAAGGCACAATAAAACACAATCAAAATAACAGATGGAGGCAGTGGTAGACCAACGGCTCCTGTGTTCAGCAATGTTAAATTACTGTTTTTCTCAGTGGAGTCTGGCTTTGAAGAAAGCGATATTATGGCTTCATTTACCTGGTGGAAATCTCTGGCTGGTGGCTAAAATATGTTTTGTTGCTGACCCCCCCCCCCCAAAGCGATAGATCGCTTAGCTTCTGTGTCTGACTTCACCCAGCTTCTCCAAACTAGGGGTGTTCCAACTGCCTTCTACTGTATGTAATATACTGTCTATGTATACTTACTTCATACAACCCCACTTGAAAAAAAGGAACTATCCCTTTAAGTGCAGTATAATGGACATAATCAACATAATACATTGATTATGTACTCATACAATAGCTATACTTAAGATATGATATTCTACATATGTATCTATTAGGGGTGTAATGATACACTGATATGGATATATAGATTTTAATGATCAGCAGTCCAATATTGTCAACACAAAGTGAAAACATCAATCGGATACATATCGTCATCTTTAATATACATCTTTATTTTGAAATTCCCATGGCATGTCTGTGTCACCATTTCTGTCCAAGCGCACTTCCTTCCTAAACTTTAAAACAGTGTTACTGCCCAAATGCCAGACAATGGCAAGCAGCCAAGAAAAAGACAATAAAGATATTTATTGGTATCATCTCATATCAATCCTGAATTGAATTGAAATCATAGTGTGGCAGACTTTGTGATATCAGCAAACACTGTCTGCGTTGTCCAAAGAATTGATAAAATATTGTATTTTGATGAACATATCTTTACTGTGTAAGAATTGACATCTGGATTAACTGTGCTTTTTTTAAAGAAATAAGTTGGTTTCACAACAAAGCTGCTAAACAGAACTGAAGTATTCTGTAACACCACAAGTCTGAAATCACACAGCAAGCAGTGAGAGTCTGTCTGCCCGCCTGCTCAGCTGTTCACTACGGGGCAGCACAGCAGGATCAAAGAAAGATCAGATGACAGTTATAATTAGAGGATGTGGATGTAACTGGACTCCTTGGCTTTAAGGTCGTCCTGGGGTTTGTTTACTTTTTGTCATGTCCTCATGTGTGCTACAGGCTCCTGCTGTTGCGGTCGGCTGCATCCTTGACGACAAGGTCGTTTTGCACGGGGGGCGTGTCGAAGCAGGGCAGGGCGCCGGACATGGCTGAAGGTAAGACAGCAACCACCCTTCTTGATTGACTTGATCAACCCTGGACCTGGTTTAATCTCTATAGACATGTGCTGTGCTGGAAGTTTTGTTGTTTTGACTCTTAGTCTTGTTTTTGCAAACTGACTTCAGAACTGACTAACTGACTTGAATCATTCCCCACATCTCAGATTTTTCTCAGTAGTTAAAAAAATTAAATAAATTTCAATTTAGTCTGATTATCAGGCACAGAAATACCTGTACAGTGGCTTGCAAAAATATTGATTGATTATTGATTAATAAATTGATTTACAAAAGGCACAAATTGGAGCATTAACGTTTTCTAGAATGCAGGAAATAAAGTGTGTAGTAGTAGCCTACTACTACTGAACTGAAAATTAGCAAAGTGAACCTGTGGATGGACATGTGCAAGCTGTCAAAAATATTCTTGTTGACATCCTAGTGATACACCATAAACACACATAACATCATGTGGAAGTGACTGGAGAGGACAAAAAAACCCCAGACACAAAAAAACAAAACAATCAGCATCCAAGCTGCAACTACATGGGAATATTTGCACAGGATTTTTACTTTCAAGACCAGAGGAAGCATCTTCTCCAACCTGCAACTCAGTTTATCACTCAAAAGGATATCATACCAGTCAGCTGTAGAATGTGTGTGTGTGTGTGTGTGTCTCAGTGCATCACATTCTGGGATGCTGTAAGTTACCAAGGTGACCAGGGATTCAGACACACAACTTTACAATTGAAATCTTACTGAGACAAACACTGCAGAAATCAGCAGGAAAGATGGAGCAGTTTCTTAAAGCAACCTCTGATACTGATGACAAGCAACAGTCAGGCCTCACAGCTTATCATCACCATGTCCTGTCACCAGTCCTTCCTGAAGCTGAGCAGGAATATCTCCTCATGCAGAAGAAAAACAAGACTCTGGAGATGGAAAATGAGATCCTCAAAAAGAAAGTTGACTTTCTGATGACTGGCACTGAGCAGTTCAAGGCAGAGCAGTGGAGAATTCACAAGGTGATCAAAAACAGAGACAAACAGAGGAAGCAACTGCTGCATTGCCAACATGAACTGTTGGTGTTGGGTAAAAAGATAAGTATCCAGGAAACAGAACTGAGGAGGGAGATCAAGCAGAACGAAGCCCTCAAAGAGGAGCTGAAGTCAGTAAAGGAGGAGCTGCGGTCAGTGAAGCTGGGAGCTGCAAACCAGAGAGCTGAGACGGTGCAGCTGAAGGAACAATTTCATCAGGTCATAAAGACAGAGACAGCCTGAGTGACATGCTGCTGCACTGCCAACATGAATGCTTTGAGTTATGTGACAAGATCAGCATCCAGACGTCAAGCATGAACAAGGACAGTCAGTGTAGAGAGCAGCTGAAGCAGATCCACCTCCTGAAGCTGGAGAAGCAGAAACTGGAGAAGGAGATGGGCGTTATGGAAAGCGATGCAGAGGAGCAAAAGAAGGAGCTCCGAAAGTGTGAGGAGGAGCTCCACACACAGAAAGAGAAACTCAAAGAGAGCAGAATGTATCGTGCTGTTGGGGAACAAATCGGGAAAAAAATACTAATTATCCCAGAAAGACCTCACGCGGTGAGAAGACCCAGATAAGAGGTGCCTCATCAGAAGTTGGTGTCCTTGCAGAAAGAGCTGCTCACCAAGACAGAAGAGCTGAATAAAACACAGAAAGTCTGTGAGGAGCTTAAGGAGAAACTGACAAAGGTGGCGGTGCGCTTCCAGCTGTGCCAGGCGACGGTTCGAGAGCAGAAAGATAAGCTCATGGCAGTGACAACAGAGAGTAATATGTACAGAAGTCTAAATGAAGAACTGAGGAAAGAATTAGAAGACATCAGAGCGGGCCACAGTGAAAAGCACCAAGAAGACCAAAAGATACAGATGTTTATAAATACATTATAAATATAAATATTTACAATGACTTTAACCCTCCTGTTGTTTTCCCATTCACTATGCTATGACTGTCCTTCCTGGTCAGGGTTAAATGGCAAAATAATTTAGCAAGCTGGCCAACTGATATATCCACTCAGATAGTATTTTGCTAAGGATAATGTTAGCAAGCAAGCTAAGGTTAGTCAGCTAGCTGCAACTAAGCTATGCTGGTATTGGTTGCTACGTAACTTTTCTTGATAAAGTAATTTACAAACATCACCCCATCTAATTTATCGGTCAGGTCAGCTCTGGAGTCTGGATGTGTTGGATGAAGTTCATCACCAGATAAGGATGCAACAATCTGATAACCTGGACCTATCATATACATTCATTCAGTCAAAGCAGGTCACTGATCAGTTTATTGTGCCACAGCTATCTCTGGCCTCACGTTACCTCACATAAAAAAGTATTACGCTTAGTTCCACACAGTAAGGTTTACAGATTTTGAATTTGGGAATATTTACGAGAACTGGTGTCAGATCAGTGCTATGAACTAGAAGACAACCTGAGTTGAGACATCTCTGTTGGCATTGAAAAAGTTTGATTGACGCATTCCATTCAAAGGATCTGACAACATTGATGCTGTAGGACTCCAGCTAAATGGCAGACATTCAGTAATAAGCTTTAACAAAGCTGCCACCTGATCTCTCTGATGTTGTTGCCCGTTTCATGTTCAGCCTCACAGGGTTCTCCCACTCTTCTTCTCTGCTTGCTACTCGGACTCACTGCTGCAGCTCGCATCCAGCTCAAGAGTCTGCTGTTGGCACACATAGTCAGTCCCTACAGGCCTCTGCCTCTGGGTGACTGGCTCAGAGTTTTGGACTGTTTGTCAAACCAGTCAAAGGATTCAAAGACATGGTCTTAGTCCTTTATGACAGTAAACTGAATATCTTTGCGTTGTGGATAAAACAAGACAGTTGAGGAAATCATCTCAGGTTTTGGTAAACTTCTGACATTTTAAAGACCAAACAACTAATTAATTAATCAAAAAAACATTAAACAGAAATGAAAGTAATTGTTAGTTTGATAGCCATTTCCATCATTTTATGACCTTTTAGATCAAACTTCTGATTGATAAATTCAAGAAAAAAGTTGGTAGATTAATCTCTAGTGAAATAAAGCGAGACTTGGACACAAAACGAAACAGAACAAGCGACAAGTATGGACAAACATTTTATTTCTCTGTACAGATCCTTTCCCTAATGTTGTCAGACCCTTATAATAATCTGAGCCTGTTTTTGACAAAAACAACCACTTTAAATGGATGTAAATTGACAGTGCAAACATGCCCCAAGTGATTAAATTGCAGCCTGTTTTCGCTGCTGCTGGTTGCAACGCTCTCTCTCAATACTGGACCAGTTTCAGAAACTGTTGCTCCCATAAGTCACTTAGACACAAAAACCTGGGAAAATAGGGTCCAGGTTGAAAAATACCACAGTTCCCCTTTACGTTGCTTGTTTTGATATCAAGCTCTTACAGCTCTCTGTCCTGTTGAGGTGTCAGCACTTCGGTCAGAAGCATTTGTCGAATGAAAGTAAAGAAATGTAACATGGTGACATATTTAATGTCTGTGTGAAACCCCCACACATCCAGCCTCATCCTGCACCGTTTTAATCATTTGTGTTTCTCCACAGGAAATCCACTTTTACACGTGTCTAATGGTGTGTGTTGGTAAACCAAGACAAATCATACCTTTCTAGACCACACTGTTCGCCTCGTACACATAGTAATTCTCCTTTAATTTGCTCTAATTGGACGTTGATTCCTCCTGCATGTTGGCTGACTGAACATCCATTCTCTTCTTTTACCTGAAGCACACGTTTCATGTACAGCAGCTTGTTGCTGTGCATCTGTTCTGCCTTTAGTTAAGTCTTGATTTAATGTTCACACCGGCTGGATTTCTGCAGGCATTCGATGGTGGCCGGCATTCTGTTAACCTTCTTCTTCTTCCCTCTGATGCACTGAGCTTCAGTATTTTGTTACAGCTGGTTTCCACCCAATAGCTGTCTCCATTCGACTGCTTCTTTTCTCTGTGTGTTTCATGTTGTCTCCATGTTTGGGCTGCAGTCTTCAGGCAAGAATTACAGACATTTTACAATGTGGTTAATTTAAATGTAATTACTAAACATCCAAGAGATTTACCTGTGCGTTTTTGGTGGCATTAAAGCTAATTATCATGATCCAAGCTATTACTAAGTGGCCATGCTACAAAATGCAAACACATCATGTCTGCTGTAAAATGACTGAACTAGTTTCCCTGGAGGCTCCGGCTGTAAAAACAACAAAAGTGTAACAGCATTTTTTTTTATTACAGAGACAGTATGAAACATATAGCCTTGAAATTTTGATGCTTTCACTACAGTACACATACTCTGATACACACACATACACAGACATACAGGAGACCTAATTGCCTTTCTGTGTTTTTCAGTGCGAAACAGGCTGAGAGAAATCGTGGGAGCTTCCACTAACTGGAGGTACTGAACCATCTGTTTCAAAGCACAGAGAAAACACTATGATCACTATAACACTAACACTAACACTAACTAACACTATATCTGTGCTGTTTTGTCTCATTCGGTTTGGGTCAGTCAACAAGGTTCTTTGTCATTGTGTCTAATAACACTGGTTATTGTGTCAGTATGAAGCCTTTTTATGATACTTTTTCAAATACAGTCCTGATTTTGAGCCAGTGGTGGAGTGTAACTAAATACATTTATTTAAATACTGTAATTAAAGGGATAGTTCGGATACTTTGAAGTGGGTTTGTATGAAGTACTTATCCATAGTCAATGTATTACATACAGTAGATGTCAGTCAGCATGCTCCATGTTTGGAGAAGCAGGCTGGAGTACTGACATGGAAGCTAAGAAATGTGCAGCTGCGGACGGGGGCAGCAGCAAAGTATACTTCACCCACCTAAAAATCAGCATCAGTTTAAGAGTACACTATATTCGAAATATTTTCACTGATACACCTTGCTGTCAGACAGCTATTCCCGATGAACTGAAACCATTACATCGCTCTCTTCAAAGCCAAAGTCCACTGAGAAATGCAGTGATTTAGCATCACTTAACACGGGAGCTGCTGGTCTACCACTGCCTTGATCGGTGAGTTTGTTTGTGTTATTGTGGGACTTTAGCATTTTAAATGGTTAGTTCCGATTTACCCAAGTCACACAGTAACACAAGCCACCTGATTGATGCTGTGGTAAATCAGCAGCTCCCGTTTTTGTTTATGGAGTCTAGTGGCTTTGACAAGAGCATGGATGGGGAACTGAAGCTGTTAACAGCAAAAATTACGCTGGATTATTTTGGGTGGCTAAAATATGTTTTACTGCTGACCCCTGTCCACAGCAGTACATTGCTTAGCTTCCGTTTTGGCACTCCTGCCGCTTCTCCAAACTTGAGGCGTGCCGACTGATATCTACTGTAGGTAATATACTGAATGGATAAGTACCACATACAACCCCAGTTAAAAAAATCTGTCCTATCCCTTTAAGTCAGTTTTCATTTACCTAGAAATTGAAAATCAGAATCAGGTTTGTTGCCAAATTGGTTTTCACATGCAAGGAATTTGCCTTGGTCTTTTGGTGCGCGACAATGTATGTACAAAATATCTTTTTTAATAATGCTGAGCTGAACAGTTTAATACAGGAATGTGCAAAAGTTCAAGTCTACAGTATAATGTATAAAGAATATAAATTCTTTTTTATGCTCTACCAATGCTTCCCTCAAATTCCCCAAATTTGTGAGAATAACTTGCACTTCAGCTGTCTCGGACTTACTCACTTTATTTCAACAATTAAAAAGAAAATTAGAGATAACATTTTAAAAAGACACAAAGGACCTCTGCCCTTGTTACACTTGTACGTTTTGTCACGTTTTTGTTCTTTATATTTAATTTTTCTAATCCTTATTATTCACACTATTCTTGTGTATCCTTATGAGCATGCCACACTTTATTTTACTACAAATATTACTCGTGTATGTGACAAATAAACCTTTGAATCCATGGAAGAACATTACAAAACAGAATTTTTTTTTAAAAAAGACAGAGGAGGCAACCACTAGCTCACTAAGTAGCCCAGACACCCCATGTGCAAAGGCTAGGTCCTTGCTGCAGCAGCCACAGGTTTGATTGCAACCCATGGTTCTTTGCTCCATGTCGTCCCCCTGTCTCTCCTGTTCGCTCTAAATCTGTCCTGACCAATAAAGGCAAAATCCAAATAAAATATATATTTGTTTTAAAAATAAAGGGATATTTACCAGGAAAAAAATCCACGGGGTGTATTTTTAAGGTTTTATATTTGATATGTCCAATATTCTTGTGAGCAGTGACCACCAGCAGGCCATGGCGGAGCGTGTGTCGCTGTCATCCATGTTGGCGAAGTCTCAGAATGACCTTCCTGCCAAGAGGATGAAGGACAGCTACCTGGAGGTGCACCTGCCTCTGGGCTCTGAGCCACAGCTCAGAGAGAAATACCTGACCTTCCACAATACCGTCAGGTACACACAAACACACACACACATACACACACACACACACAATTTGAAGGTTAACGGATAACCTATAACTCGCTTCCTTGTGTCTGTTCTCAGGTTTGGTAGAATCCTGGAGGACTTGGACAGTTTAGCAGGTATCACTGTAAAACAGAATGTTTTACATTATAGCTTGACAGAAAGTTCAACAAAGTCAAACACTGATACTTTTTCTTCCTCGTCTCTCTCCTCAGTCCTCATCTCCTATTCTCACACCTATAATAAGGCACTGAAGAGGTCTCCTCTGTCCATCGTCACTGCCCTTGTGGATAAGATTGGTGAGAGTCTCAAGTATTTTTATGGTTTGTTTTGTTTGGTCGGTCTGAATTAAGTGGGCTTTTCTCTATTTTGTGCCTCCTCCTCTCCTCTCTCCTTGTGTCTCTTCCTCAACTCCTCTACTCGCATCTCAGGTGGGAGGGACTAAGATATGAGGAGAGGAGGCAACGAAAGGAATCGAGGATGTACAAACTGTAAAATTAGAAAAGCCTACTGAAAAGTTTTAGGTCGCTAATCTGGCTCAGATTTCTACATTCAGGTCCCTCTGCCCATTAACTCTTGTTTAGTAGTTGTAGCTGTTGTTAGTGCTGAAACAATCAGTCAGTTAATTAATTAAAGACAATGTTTTTGATTATCATCATAGCTTCCTCCATCTGTCCTGTTGAAATATGTTCTCCCTTTTTTGTGCATAAAATGTGCCACAGTTCTGTGGATCCTGCAGCAGTGTCTTTGTTTCCCATAGAAAAGTTAAAGATGAATTATCAACTGTAACACCAGACAAGGACAGAACATTTTATTATTATTTATTAAGGTGCTTTATTAAGGTGCTTTATTTATCAATTTTAATTTGTCAAACAGACATGAGGCAGCACATCATCTACCCTGACTGCGACATCAAGTTCACTGGTCATGTGACGTGGGTGGGAAATACCTCTATTGAAGCCAAGATGCACATGTCACAGGTAGACACACACACACACACACACACAGAGGCAAAAACACATCCTGTATGTGTTTAGTTAAAGCCACAGTGTGTAGGAATATCTCCCATCTAACGTTGAAATCATATATTGTGTTCAAACAGATGAAACACTGTTTCAAACACGTATTGCAACAACTGTGGCCGCTGTGTACCAAAAAGCTATGTTAACACTGATGAAACCATGTCATCCGATACTACATGGAGTATTCATTCAGGCTCCTATACAGACACACGCGACGCGAGTTGACAAACCCCCTCCTCACCATGCTGGCTGTGTTTACAACGTAGGACTGTTGGGGCGGATGTAAATTGAAACAAACCGATCACGTCTTGTCCTTTGACAACTGACAAGTGTCTCAACCTCACACACCTCATCCCTCTCCTCGCATCACTGCGCCGCTAACAGCTGTTAGTGGCCAGCGGCACTACTGCCGCATAACAAAGTCCCACTCTTTGAGCATAATGCAGGATCATGTATTATGCAGCATCACGGGAGACGGAATCCTCGTCGCCAAGAAAGTGCAAAAGGGAATCAAAAAGGCAGCGTGCCCGGCGAATTAAAAAAACAAGGGTCAGCATTGGGGTTGCCTTTCCCAGGTGGAGAGAGCTGCTGAAGGAGAAAGGTAATACAATCACAGGCCAGCGCTAACAGCGGCTAGCGGCTAACAGCGGCGCAGTGATGTGAGGAGAGGGATGAGGCTGTTAGCGACTGGCCGCTAACAGCGGCGCAGTGATGCGAGGAGAGGGATGAGGCTGTTAGCGACTGGCAAATTAAAAAAACGAAGGCCCGCATCGGGGTAGCCTTTCCCAGGTAGAGAGAGCCGCTGAGGGAGAATGGTAATGCAATCACAGGCCAGCGCCGCTGTTGGCTGTTAGCCGCTGTTGGCTGTTAGCCGCTGTTAGCCGCTGTTAGCGCTGGCCTGTGATTGCATTACCATTCTCCCTCAGCAGCTCTCTCTACCTGGGAAAGGCTACCCCGATGTGGGCCTTCATTTTTTTTCATTCGTCGGTCACACTGCCTTTTCTATTCCCTTTTGCGCTTTCTTGGCGACAAGGATTCCGTCTCCGTTGATGCTGCATATGCATGATCCTGCATTATGCTCAAAGAGTGGGACTTTGTTTCAAATTTGCCAGGGTAGTAGCGAAGCACCTCTTGCTCCTCTCCTTCGGCTCCTCAGTCACGCAGTGCTGGCCTGGCTCTCAACGAAAACGCCGAAGGCGGTGCTGTATGTCCCTTGCTGGCGGATGTATTCTCAAGATGGCGAAACGTAATGGAACCCCCCAGACGACTTACCCGCACAATGTACAAACAAATCCGAAATTCTCCTTTTACGAGAATAAGTCAGATTATTGGTGGAGGTAATAGTACACCAGTGATGACATATTTATGAATGCAGACATCATTTTTTGCCAATAAACAACTGAAAATGTTACACAATGTCCCTTTAAGTTGTTTGGACAAGTAAGAAAATAAATAAATAATTTTTGAGAGTGATCAAGCACAAATTAAAAATAGCTGTGATCACGTATGGGCATGAATCCATGCATTTATGCATTCACACACACACCACCTCACAAACACTTGTCACTAGTACAATGATGCCTACGATAGCCGTTTCATGAGTTATGAAAGAGACGTAGCAAAATAATGTTGTGTATGCCATGATCACAAACACACCTGACCTCCAGGCCAAACTTGAACCTCCTAGGGCAAAAACTGTGGTTGCAAAAGGTTGGAGATATTTTTGTGGACCGACAGATGGACTGACAGAGCTGCTGTTCGCAGCCAAAAACACAAATGGAACCATGAAGGTATTTCAGCAGAAAATATGAAGAAAACAAGGTCAAAGAATAACACACATTAAAAACTACTCAAACAAACGTGACATTTAGAGAGGGTCAAATTTTAACAATATCCCGTGATGATAGGTGAGCGGTAATATCTGTTATGATTGCAGAGACAAAGAAATAAAACCACTCGCAAAAAACCAAAGTCCGCCAAAATCCGAAAATAAGGCTGTTATCATCCCACCCAGATTGTGTATTAGATATTGTGTGCAGACTGTTAATTTATCATGATGATCTGTTCTGTACGACATCTATTGCAAGTCTGTCCGCCCTGGAAGAGGGATCCCTCCTCAGTTGCTCTTCCTGGGGTTTCTACTGTTTTTTTTTTCCCCTGTTAAAGGGTTTTTTTGGGGGAGTTTTTCCTTATCCGCTGTGAGGGCCCTAAGGACAGAGGGATGTCGTATGCTGTAAAGCCCTGTGAGGCAAATTGTGATTTGTGATATTGGGCTTTATAAATAAAATTGATTGATTGATTGATTGTTTTCATTGACATGGGATCACTTCTACGTGCAGAAACATGACAGAACTGAAAACAAACATTGAAACAAAACCAAGAGTTTCAGATCAGCAGCAGAATGAAGTGCAGACTAGCAACAGGAAGGATCTCATAATGTGACTCTTCTTTCAGTTCCATGATGGCACGTATTCTCCAATTCTGGATGCTACATTTGTCATGGTGGCACGGGATCCAGAAAACAAGAGGTAAGATACTAAGTGCACACAGTCCGAGGTTCATTTACACAGAAGAAATACTGATGCAGAAATGGAATGAACCCAAACTGTCACACCCTCACTGCTGCATCACCAGTTTTCTTTATAAAACAACAGATACAAAAGAGATAAGAAAAAATACTTACAAAACAAATAATGGCCTGTGTGATGCAGAATTAGCACAATTTACAGAATCATTTTTCTTTTTCCCCCCTTTCCTGCATGCTTATCTGCACATCCCAAACTCTGTAAGTAAACTTAACTGTATACACTGGAGCTAAGGAAGCTTAAATTTCTACCGATCCTATTGAGAAGGGAAGAGGACAGTGACACAGTAGAGTCATACAAAGTCTGCTAATGATGGGGTTATAAATTCAGTCCATTTATTCCAGATTTGATAGAATATGGTCTTTTGGGTCCTTTAAAGAGGTCAGCTTTTTCATTTTATATATTTTAAAATTATCCCATACCAACATTACCAGTGTTTATGAATTTGTCTTTGAGATATGGTGGACTCTAGTGGACTGACACTGTAAAGTCCAGACTCAGATCCTGTACTTTAATAGAAGTACTACCACATTGTAAGAATACTCTGTCACAGTAAGTTTCACACTGAAAATGTTAATTCAGTAAAAGTCTGTAAGTATAATCAATAAAATGTAATTCAAGTCTTAAAAGTATAAAAATGTCCCCTGTGACTGTCACAGTATTATATATGATGTCATCAGATGATTCTGACCCATGCATGAATGTAAAAGCAGGATTTTACTGGTGTAGTTGGCTGAGGTGGAGCTTATTTTGAACCATTAACTAAAGATTATGTTCATTATGGATTCATCTGCTGACTATTTTCTCCGTTAATTGTTTGCTTTGCTGACACCTTCACAATGTCTGTTTTGTCCAACCAGCAGTGCAAACCTCTACTAAGCTGCTACTAACAATTATTACAATTATGCAAAGGAAAAGTTTGTGAAGACATGAAATGTTTTGATATGAAAAACGACTTTGACCATCAAAGTTTAAAAACTTTCCGTCAATCGACTAATTAATTAATTGAGTCATCATTTTAGCTGTAACTGTATGAACTATTAGGTGGTTTCACTTGTAACAGTAACTAGTAACTGCACTTTTTCTTCATTTCAGGGCAGCTTTTGTGAATCCACTGAGGCCAGAAGGTCCAGAAGAGGAGAAACTTTTTCAGGAAGGAGAAGGTGAGAGATCCTGACATGACCTCAGTGAAGATGAGATAATGCTATCTGTTTTATGAGTTTTATCTGTAAATGTGTGTTCATGTGTATGTTCCAGCTAATAAAGCTCGCCGTGTGGCTCTGAGCACTGCCTCACTCCTGAAGGTGGCACCTGTAGACGAGGAGAGAAAGATCGTACACAGTCTGTTCCTCAACACGCTGGACCCAAAGTAAGATTGAGATACTGTGAAATTTATTCTGCACTGTGCTGAACTTGACCCCTAATGAGGTCAATAAAAATTCTTGTTTTTCTAAATAAAAATCTGGTGAGGTGAGGTATCAGTTCACTGATTGGAGCATGTGTTTCCAGTCAGTATTATTGTTGGTGCTGCTGTCGCAAAGACAACCAGATCGCTTTCCTTTTTTACTCAGAGCCTAGCAGCTAATAACAACACAGGACACACTGCATTTTATTTTCCACAGTTACTTCAGTAGTTCCACCGTCCACCATTTCCACTACTGGGGAAAGTGACTGCAAAGAACTGTTTACTTAATACTTTTTGGTAACTGGGAATAGCTAGTGAGGAGAACAAAAGTGCTATCCTCTTCCTGTTTTGGTTAGTCAATGGTTGACACACTTCCTTTGTGCTGTAAATTGAGCCATCATATTCCCAGAAGATGTTACCCGGTGACAGACAGAATTACATAATTAAAGTGAGTCTTCCAGAGGACCAAACTAAACACTGATGGTGATATTTCTCTGTAGCCATTACTTTGTGCTATCAACATTTTCTTCATAATGATAAGTTAAAGGTCCAGTGTGTAGGATTTAGGGGATTATATTAGCAGAAATGGAATATAACATAATAACTATGTTTTATTTAGCGTATAATCACCTGAAAATAAGAATCGTTGTGTTTTCGTTACCACAGAATGAGCTGTTTATATCTACATGGGGTCCTCCTCTGTGGAGATCACCATGTTGTACCACCATGTAGCCCAGAGCAGACAGATAAAACACTAGCTCCTGATGGGGCCATTTGCGTTTTCAGTTAGTTGCAATCTGCAACCTTGCCACTAAATCCCACACACTAACCCTTTAAGTTTGGTTGATGCACAGTCCAAGGATGTGTTATTATTTAGGCTGTTGAGGCTACAGTACAATGGTACACTTATAAAAGCTGTGAATGTGTTGTGTGTTATTTTAGGACATGCAGTATTAAATATGTTTTTGTGCCTTCTCCTCCTCCTACAGGACGGTTAGTTTCCGCAGCAGAGTTCTGCCTCCAAACTCTGTATGGATGGAAGACGCCAAACTGAAAGGACTGGAGATCTGCCACCCTCAGGTGAGAGGGGGAAACAGCTGGAGTGACAAAATACACATCTCAACCTATAGAAAAATGTCTGAAATTCTTCCCCACATTCTTTTTTACTTTGGCAGTGCTTTGAGTTTGATTTTGTCTCTCACATTTGATAGAAACTCCACAGCCTGTTCTGTTTATACTAAAATCCATCAGCCATTCACATGAGAAAAGTAGATTTTTAAATACATATTATTGTGGCCAGTGTTCCTCATGATTCCTCATGTTTTTGTCCAGTCGTTTAGTTTCAGCTGGAGAATATCTCTTTTCTGTCTGTGTGTTGAGCAGGAGAGGAACATCTTTAACAGGATATTTGGAGGGTTTCTGATGAGGAAAGCCTACGAGTTGGGCTGGGCCAACGCCTGCTCCTACGGGTGAGAGCTTTTTAAGAGAACATGATGCTGTGCCAAAGAATACTGGTTTGCTGGACGGTGTCAAAGTGTTTGTTTTCCTGCAGAGGATGTCGACCCAGTCTGGTGGCTGTTGATGATATCCTCTTCCAGAGACCCGTGGAGATCGGCTCCCTGCTGCTGCTCTCATCACAGGTCAGAGAGACATTCAGAGCTGAGCAGTGACTATGAGAAAAACCTTCTGTGACAATAATCTTTTTACAGTTTTTCTCAATTGTTTACACACATTTTCTGAAAGCATGCCTCATACTCTCAGAACTCTACACACAAATCAAAAAACACACACACAATGGGCAAAACCCCTCAATTCTCCTGCAAAATGAAACTTTACATTCAAAACAATGTTATTTCTTCTCAAAATGTTATTTTGTTTTCAAATGACACACACAAACCATCATATGAATAGACATTTATAAGAACCAGTTGAACACTGATGTGCTCAATGTAAAACACTATGATGAATGGAAAACACTTCTTCTCCATTCATCATAATGACTTAGGCCTTTTTTTGTTCAGTGTTACACTACAGACAGTACATATAAGTGTGTTGTAAAATATTTTAGAATATTGTTTTTATACTCAGAACACACAAATACACGGTAACAAATATATTTTATTTTTCCCACAAAAACAATGTACACAGTGTACATTCCAACCAACACAAAGTTGCACATACAGTGGTCTACATACAAAACAACAGAAGAATTTACTGTATACAGTTACAGTAAAAAACCAAAACAAAACTATGCTGCATCCTCTCTTCTGTTTCGGTCTGGACACAGCACCTCATCCACATCACAAGCAAAGTTTTCCCTGGCCAAGCAGCGGGGGAAATATCGCCTAGCATGGCAAATCCAGCCATGAAAAGCATCAACTGCTATATCTCCACATGCGTCTTCCATAGCTTGGAGAAGGGGTATACACGTTTGTGGATTTCGGTCATACACTTTCCATCTCCAGGCAGAAAAAGTGGCTCGGATCTCATCAGAGATTACGGTCCTTGGCCTTCCTCTTCCTCGTCCTCGTCCTCGTCCTCCCCGTCCTCCTCCTCTTACTCTCACTCCTCTGGCTCTGGCTCTGCCTCTGTTTCCAATGTTGGCATCCATTGCTCTTTTATGCTAAAGCTCTGATTGCTAATTGTAAAACTGTGTGACAGGTGTTTGCCCATGTGATGAGTCAGTGTGCATAGTAGGGCAATTAACTTTAGAATTTTGAATGACAGTGTGTTCTTTGTGACAACAAGAGATTTTCTTCATGAAAATTGTGCCAAATGCAGAGAACTGTGTGTAGTGTTTTGAAAAAAATGTGTTTTAGAACTGCAATTTGAGTGTAAAGCAGGAATTGTGCTTGTAGTTTAGCAGAATTGGTTCAGGGGGTTGGTGCATGAGTTACATGTTGTGGTCATTGTGTCTCAAGTACCAGTATTTGTGTGTAAACAATTGAGAAAAACTGTAAACATTGCATTGTTGCAGCTTTAGTGTTATATATAACCACTTGAGGCATTTTAAGAATTACTGGTTGATTTACTAAACTAATATTACAAACATTATTTCTGTAAATGGAAACAGCCACTGTTTAAATTAATAATGCAACATGGCTGAAGAGTGTGTCAGTTTAGACTGAAGGCTGAAGTGTGTGTGGCTTTTGGTGCTTCAGCAGCCTGTGTGTGTGTTTTCAGGTGTGTTACACACAGGGGAAGTACATCCAGGTCAGAGTTCACAGCGAGGTGTTCGACCCGCTGACCCGCCAGCACAACACCACGAATGTCTTTCACTTCACCTTCGCTTCTGACCGTGATGTCCCCAACATCATTCCAATGACATATGGAGGTGAGCCCTCACACACACACACACACACACACAGGTGAACACAACATACAATACACCTAAGTACGGTTTTAAGGTACTTTATTTACTTGATTATTTAAATCTGCTACTTTATACTACTACACTACATTTAAGAGGAAAATATACTTTTTACTTCACTGCATTTATTTGACAGCTTAAGTTACTTTGCAGATTCAGATGAGTAATGCAAAATATAATCAACAATTAAATTGTAAGGTATTATTCACAAGCTGCCCAGCAGAAATTAAAATTAGCAAAATGAGCTCGACCTTTACCAGCTGCAACATTAAGGTCATAAACACAGTAATGCATCATAGTTATATTTCAGTAATACATATTTTTCTTAAATGGGCCATGTTGCACAATAAGTACTTTGACTTCTGCTACTGAAAAAGTTCCAGAGTGTAGGGTTTAGTGGCAGATTGCAACCAACTGAAACTTCACCCATGTGCCAAGTGTGTAGGAGAACTATAGCCATCGCAAAAACGCAAATGGCCCTGTCTAGAGCGAGTGTTCAGTTGTCCTATTTAGGCTACTTTAGAAACAACATGAGGAACTCTGTAGGAGAGGACTTGCTCGGCATGTAGATATAAACGGCTCATTCTAAAGTAACGAAAACACAACCATTATTACTTTCAGGTGATTATAAACGAAAAAATAGTTATGAATATTATATTCCATATCTGCCCATATTTCCTCCTTAATCCTACACATAGGCTTTTTAAATATGTATTGATACTAATAGTAAGTGCTATATCGTAGGCAACTGGACTTGCTTGCGTTTCTTGAAGACGTTTTGCCTCTCATTCAAGAAGCTTCTTCAGTTCTAAATGACTGGTACGAAACCCTGTGTGGGTGTGAACCCTTGCAGAGTCGTAGGGGTCACATGTGAGCTCTTAGTTTTAGAGTTGGTAAGGTCACAATGTGAGTCGTTGACCCACCTGGCTACCATGTGAGTCGTTAGGGTCAGGTGGGACCAGGGGTGAATTGGTGTGAAGTCGTCTGGGGAGGGGTCCCAAGATTGCATTGTAGGTGGGTGATAAGTGGTGTCGTAAGCCACCCCCTCTGTTTAACGATGGTTGTTCCAGCTTGAGGTAGATGACTTCTCTTACTCCTCTTTCAAACCATCTTTCTTCCCTGGCCAAGATGTGCACATTGCTGTTCTCAAAGGAGTGTCCCTTCTCCTGTAGATGTAAGTGGACAGCTGAGTCTTGACCTGAGGAGTGGTTGTTTAACCTCCCCACTGTATAAATCTGTGCATTCCTGGCTGCACTGAACTGCCTACACTACATTACTCTTAGGGATGGGGCCGATCCGATCCAGTATCGGTATTGGGTTCCGATACCAACGTAATTCACGGATCGGAAATTTCCGATCCACCTGCGGAAAATTTCCGATCCACGAGCCGCGTCTGTGCTTTCAATTTGTCTGCTGGAATGATATGATGATTGCTACATAGTAGTGTTGCACTGACCGAGGTACTAAAACACGACGGTACATATGATACCATAATGTTGGAGTACCGTAGTACTACAGTACCTCAGGTACCACTACTGTGGGATAAGATCAAAGTCCAATCGCAAGAGCGTGAGTGTCCATACGGCGTCCAATAACGGCGCGCGCTGTCCACCTGGCACTCAATATGCTGCTGCAGTGGTTTGTTTTCCAGTGACATTTCAGGTATTAGCTGAGCTATTGAGTATCTTTAAGCAGTGAAAGTTATTATTCATTTCTTTTTACCTGTAGGTTAGATTATGCTACAGTAATTTGTTTTCCACTACAGAGCTCTACGGTGCGAGCATTTTACTGGCATTTGCGACTAAAAACAGTTTTGTGCATGCAAAATAAATCATTCAGCATGCTGTGTGAGTACAGATTTCAACCAGCAGCAGAAATGAAAGGCGAATCCTGCCGGTTGTGGGTTGAACGGGGGTCACAGACGGGAATGTATTCCTGTCAAATACAGCACAAGAACGGCTTACCGGCGACAGCGACTCCAGGTCCAATAATGTCCTCTTCGTGGCGTCATGACTGCCCAAAAGTACCTGAACAGCTGAACTGTGGCGGCACACGGGTATGTGATGTGTCAGAGGAGAAACGAGCCGTTCACATTTCGCTCTCTGTGGCAGGTAACGGTCCACAAAGCTCACTGCACTTTAGGGACTGTTCTTTACTTGTCAGGGGAGGAGGGTGGCTGGTTGATTTTTATTTAATTTATTTATTTTATTTTGATCCCCCCTATGTTAATCACTTATTGATGCTGATTTTGAAGTATGAATAAGTCAATACGTAATTTATTCCATTGAAATATCATTGATGTATTATAGAAAAGTGATTTATCTTTTTATAAATGACAAAAGGCACATCTGCCTCATTTTGGCTGTGGTATCCTGATACTACTCAGAACCGTGATACTTTCACTGGTATTGTACCGTGGGTCCCAATTTTGGTACCGTGACAAAACTACGACATAGTAGTGTCTACTTGATTTGTATCTGTGCTGTTCAGATTAATATGACAGGTACTTTTTGTTTTTTGATAGTGTATATTGCACTAGTAGTTTAACACTGTCTTGGAATTTAATAAATATTGACAATCAAGTTGAAACCCTTACAGTTGCATAGGCTATTTGTTTTCAGGATGGGATTTTTCCTGTGAGCAGGATTTCCTGCTTTTCTGACCTTATACTTACCTCAAGTTGCCTTTTGGGACATACATGCATACGTACGTACATATCATACTTGCCTGTAGAGAGGAGTTTATTACAGCCTCATATAAAATCAACAATAATGATAATAATAATAATATTAAAGCAAACAGAGCTCTGGTATCTAGTATCGGTATCGGCAGATATCCAAATTCAGGTATCGGGATCGGATCGGAAGTGAAATAATGTGGAATGGTGCATCCCTAATTACTCCGCTTATGTCTGGTGTTTTGTCCTTGGGGTGGACAAGTTTCTGTCTCAGTGTGTTACTGAGTTTAAAGTGCACAGGGTTGTGGTGTTTGAAAATCCTCCTGAGTTTCTCAGATACTCCTGTGACATAAGGAATGACAATGTTGTTTCATTTCCAAAGGTCCAGTTGGAATAGCCACAGGTTTGATGTGCTTCCCTGATGTGTTTCTGTTCCTTCACCTTATCCTCTGTCCTAGTGGACACATTTTCAGCCCGATGATTCAGTGTCCTGCTGTTTGACTCTCACCACCCACTGGAGCACAAGTTGGGAGTTATCAGTAACTGACGATTCCCACATAGTATACCATTAGGTTAAAGATCTGAGTATTTCTTCCATTACTCAAGAGCCTTTTCATGAACACTGTTTAACTATGTTCACCGCATGCAAAAGATAAATATTTACTTAAGCTACAGAAAGACAAGGGTGAAAAATACTGGATGAAATGGGACTGTTACTCTCAGGACACAGACACTGGTTAACACTATTTTTCTTTGTTTTCAATAAAAAGAACAGTTAAAAAAGAGATGACAAAGCCTTTTGACTCTTGCAGGTGGAGAAGTCTTGAATTACTTTTCCATCTGAGATGTTTGATGCAAGTGTTTTTGTGTTTGTGTGACAGAGTCGATGCTGTACCTGGACGGGAAGAGACACTTTAATCAGACTGTGGAGGAATGAAACCAACATATCAGTGGACTGCCTGCCAAAGCCTTGCAGCATCTGACCAATGAGAGTGTGTGTGGGGGTGTGTATGTGTGAATGAATGCAGTATACATCCTTTTTACATCACACCTTGTTAACTTTACAGTCCTCCACACGATGACCATGTTTGACTCCATTATTTTTTCTGGAAGTTTACATTTTGGTGTCAAGAGGACCACTACAGTACAACACCGAAAGACATTTTTTGAGATTCATTTATATTTTTTTCACTCTTTGTTTCACAGTTGTATCCATGGTTACAGCTACCAGGCGGTTTGTTTTGACAACATGCAGCGTTTACAGCTTCTCAACAGTCAAATGAACCAACAGTTTCCTGGCCTCGTCTTAACCTCATGTATACCTGATGTGCATGGCTTTACAGTATGTTACATTTTTATATTCCACTGTCGCTTATACGCACAAAACTGTACTTTTTTTTTTTTACGGTAAATGGGAAGATTTATTCTGAATGTGTCAGAATGCTGTGAGGGGGAGGAGGGTGCCATTTTTTTCCTGGCCTTAAGATGTGTATTTACTCAAATGCAATAAATGAATTCTATTTATCTTGACTTTACAGTCGTCCTTGTGTCTTTGCTTTCATTATGTGTGATACAAGTGATCACTGGTGGGTCAATGTTATATAATACTTAAAGAGAGCTTTGTCAAATCTGAGGAAATAACCCCTGATGATCCACCAGTGATGTCATTTTTTACTTTATATTTATAACACAGCGCCATTATTATTTATCAGAGCAACCAATTAGACTGACCAGCCAATGAGAGCCAAGAGAGACTGTGACGTTGTGTGACATCATCTCTCGTGAAGCGATGTGAAGATGTGATAATTAAGAGATGACATAATTAAATTAAAAAAAGAAAGAAAAGAAAACAATACAGAAATATATATACTTTATTTATTGCCCCTTGTTTTATTTATTATTTTTATAACCATAATTTTGATTAACTTATTTATTTTTGTAAGTAATCATGCTCCTATTTATTTGTTTATTTCCCATATCACTTTTGGGTCCTGACATTCAAGCATATTTTGTCAAATTAAAACTGAAAGGCAAAGATGTTTATCTAATCCTTATTTAAATATAATTATTTGGTTTTACCCATTTGTCTTTTTCTTAGTTGTATTGTAATAAATTAAATGATGTGCAAATAAAGTGATGTAAAAATATAATATTCTTCATTTATTTATAGTCCATTAATCTATGTTTTTTTTTTTTTTACAAAGAAATTTTTATTTTGAATAATCATTTGAACATTCATATTGATTTATGTATATACTTTTTTACTTTATTTTAATGTATGTTTTTTACTTATTTATTTATGTCACTTTATGGCCCCATACCACACCAACTGGTATCAACATAATAGATAAACAAACAAACAAACAAAAAAAGATTATCTATTTCTTATTTAAATCTCAATATTATTACAGCTGTAACAACGTGTTAAATGATGCGTGCAAGTCAATCTGTATATAAAGTCCTGAAAAAAAAGAAGTCAATTTTGATGGTTTCTTTTTTTGGTATTTGTTTGGCTTCTGTAGTTTTACAAATCTGAAGGCAATCTTTCTGACCTTGTAGTGTTAATTATACAGTAGAATACAAATGTCCTTGCTTTGTTAAACTTAGAGCTTTTGAATTTTCTGTGAACAAAAAAGCTTTAAAAACTTAAATTTCTTATCTGCCTGTAACAATGGAAATGTGTCCCTTTTTATATTTTTGCACATCCTGTGCAGAACTGTTGAGCTATTTCATTATAAAACAGTTATACTGTAAATATTTGTTAGACTATTTTTTAAGTAGAACTATATTTTTCATATTTTTATTGTATTTTTCTCATTCTATATTTATGTTATTAACTTGTGCAGTGCTTTGCTTTTTTTTTTTTTTTTTTTTAAATTTCCTCTTAATGTTTGCTTTATGTACCAAACACCAAGGTAACTTCTTTGTAAGTTAAAACCTACTTGGCACTAAACTTTATTTTGATTTACATTCTTTAATTAGTCAAACAATCTCCAGGTGTTATTTCTTTTTATCGACATTACTCTTTAAAAAAATTGTTGTGTATTTAATAATTGGTATATATTTACATCTTTATGCTGTTTGTTATATTTTCAGGCTTATAACAAAAAAAACGGTTTGCATTTCTGTATTACATTGAATTTTAAATTCCATTTCCGGGCAGCTGTGTATAAAACATCCAGGGAACGAAAGTTCAATGCAGCCAGTATTCACCCGGGGTAATTTCTCCTACGGACACTAACACGGAATCAGCAGGGTAGTGATTAACATCCGCTGTTTTAATCCCTTCAGAGCCGGTCGTCGTTCAGTAGCATGAAAAATATGTTAACCATTATCTCTAACGCACTTTGCAGGATCACTGGCAGGAATGCGGTGAGTGGTTTTGGGGGCTAACGTCGAGCTGCGGACCGTTTCTGGGCTGATGCTAACAGTTAGCTAACGTTAGCCTGGTTATGTTTGTGACCTTGTGAGGAGGTAGCATTTTAGCCACAGTGGCTAGTTTGACTCTTGCTTTGCAGCTTGCATGCTGTGGTCACATATATAATTTGTACAATGTGTGCTTGCTTATCGTTGTCTGACTTAAATGGTGATTTTAAAAAAAAGGCACGGGTAAACTGAGGAGCCACAGACGCTGCTGTGTCTAACGTTATATCTTTGACTTTTCTGTTTCTATAACTAATCTTTAATTTGTCTTTGTCTGTCGTTGTGGTGGTTTGTCTTCCTCGAGCAGCTTTCACTGATTAGATGCACTGATGGGGATCAGTACTGAGCAATATCGGGTTTAAAATGCAACCTGTGTATTTTGTTGCTTGTTAGCAGTGGTGAATGAAGTACTCAGACATTTTAATTGAGTAAAAGTAGTAAAACCACAGTGCAGAAATACACTGTTACAAGTAATTGTCCTGCATTTCAAATCTTTCATAGGTAGAAGTAAAAAAGTATTAGCATCAAAATTTAATTAAAGGTCCAGTATTTAGGATTCAGGGGCATCTGTTGGCAGAAAGATATATATAGGCTAATATTCATAACTAACGTATGTTTTCTTAAGTCCATAATCACCTGAAAATAAGAATAGTTTTGTTTCTGTTACCTTCAAATTAATTGTTTCTATCTACATATGGAGAGGGTCCTCTTCCACAGAGACCGCCATGTTGTTTTTACAGTTAACCAAAATGGACAAATCATGGATGTATAAATACCCCTTTTTCCATTACCACTTTTGGCCATGTGGAGTGTGGTGCTGATTTTGTCTTTTCATTATCAGTTAAGACAAGCTAGCCATGCCAGAGATGGACCATCTCTGGAGTTGGGTAAAAAGCTAGCCTGACCGCCTCGAATAAGGTAGTGGTGATGGCTCGCATATCACAGCCAACCCCCAACAACAACTCCCTTTCTCCCCCGAAACAAGCATGCGTGTTGCAAGACTCAACTCACATGTGTCTGTGCAGGAGATCCACTTGAATCAATCCCAACCAAGCCAAGCCAGCACATGAGTGTCGGGAAAAAAAGGTAAAAGAGACCTGGATACAACATTGGAGGCAGGACTCCGTTGATACCTATGAAAGTTGTGACGTGGCGCACAAAGCCAAAAACATTCAACTGCCACCTATAAAATTACTTAGATGATCGGCGCTGCTTCCACATTATTGAGCCCATAAAATATGTGCACCTGAGATTTCTGCTGAGCAAGCTGGATCCTTCAGTTTTAGCGCTCTCCTTATTTGAATGAGGGGGGAAAAAATGATTTTATCGTGCGGCTCTTTGAGACTTATTTCAAAATGTTATCGGACAAAATGGCTCAAATCCTGATAGTGAAACGAGTCATTTAGCAGGGGTTTTGACAATCAAAAAATGTATCCACTCAGTGACAGACGTCTCTTGTACAATGTGCAAGTCGTTTTGGCATCATGTGACAGGCTTGAAAGCAGTAATGCCATTGTACAAAAAGTGGCTTCACAACTCGGTGCGCTTCCTGGGGGCCAGGAACAAATTAAACGCTGGCTCTAGATAGGACCATTAGTGTTTTTGCGTCAGCCTCCATAATCCTCCTACGCACTTGGCACACGGGAGAAGTTTCAGTTCCACAATGTCACCACTGGATGCCACTAAATCTTACACACTGGAGCAAGTATCAAAAGTAAAAATACTTTGCAGAATGATCCATGTCAGAGTAATAATTATATCATAATACCTTGTCAATTGACTGACATGTGTAAACAGAAGATATTTGTTTCAGTTAAAACACATCGGTGCATCAGTAGTGACTGTGCTTATTCAATAGCATAAGCCATAGCATTGACAACAGCATGTTGTGTCTGTGTTGTGGTGTTTCAGCAGCAGCAGGGATCCTACAGTCCTTTGGAATTAATTTGGCATACATCAGCAGTAATATTTTTGTATAACTCCAGACATTATGCAAATATGAACTAAATCAAGTTACTTTTGTTATTTAGTTTTTTGCAAATGTACATCCTAAAAACAATCAAATATGTGGCTGTAGGAACTCTATTGTTTGTCGGCTGTGCATTGAAAAAGCAGACATCTTGCTTTCGATCTTTCCCTCTGGCTTCTACTCCCTCTTCACTCACTCACTCACTCACTCACACACAACAATCCCTATTTATTTCTTGCTTCTCTCCCTCCTCTCCCCCCTTTCCCCCACCTCCTCGCCTGAACCCTAGGGAGCCCAAACAGTGTCCGAGGTAAGCAGCTTGTTGCACAGCTGATGTCTGTCTGTAGGCCTGGTCCTACGCTGCCTCACCTTTTGTAGTGATGTTTCCCAGGGAGCTCCTTTTAAAGTGCTTCAAAGCTAGGAAAATAAATCGCAACAGATCTTACATTATTGTCCCTGTGACCCAGTTTTACTGTTTTTAATTGTCCTTCTTTAATTCTTTGGCTTTAATTTAAAGTGTCCTTTCCAAACATCAGTCCTGTGTTTTTTCTTTTGTTTATACAATGCTGTTATTAATAGTACAGTCATCTACTCTGTGGTAGCACGGTTAAAGGCTGTTATCTGGGAGAAAAGCCGCCCCAGAGATATTTCATATTGGCACAACATTTACTCCTCAGGACAGAAAACAAGCCTTCTCAATAACCAGTTTAAAGTCATTGTTACCAGTAAGCGAAACAGACCACTTTGTCTAGACAAAAAACAAGAATTTAGTTAAAAAAGTAAAAAGGAAAAAAAAAAGAAGTAAATTTATTAATGAATGTCTCAGAATGCGACAAATATGAAATGAAAGATCTGAGAATTCATATTGGGTCTTTTATAACTCAGTTTCTTGAAAATTTGAGTAAAATACAACAACAAATTTGTACTTTCTAGTTATTTTAGACTTTTGTAAAGTTGATTTTATTTAAATTGCAAAAGAAAATTCCAGGAAGTCTGTCTGACTGCCTTTTTGGGAGGAAAAATATGTACGCCATGTTGCAACGTGGTAAACTCCAGTTGAGTCACACGGGTCAACCAAAGGAAAAAAGAGAAGCCACTAGGTTTACTTCAGAAGCACTAACATTGAGCCAAAGATATGTAGTTAAAATGCTCATTCATTTAGAGCATAAAGAAGTTAAAAGTTACAAAAGGAGAACACTGACTGGGTTCGACCCACACTGGGTCCTCCTTAGAGCTTAGACAGGAAAAAGGACTTTTCATTTTGAAAAGTGTTGAAAAGCTAATGATAATTATTAATGCTGTTTTAATCTAGGACAAAAATTTAAAAACAAGCTCATAACAAGTTCTCGGAGCCCATGTCTCTACAGTAGCCCAGAGTAGACAAACAAAACACTGGCTCTAGATAAGGACATTTGTGTTTTTGCATCTGCCACTGTAGTTAGAAACCCATGTACAATGAGCAAAACACTGATTTGTAATGTGAAACTGCTTTATTCAGTTTTTATCTCCTGGTTTGTTTGTTTTGGGGAGAAAGAGACCTCTGTGGATAATTTAGCTCACAGTAAAAACCTCCCTAACAATGAAAACTAAAGGAATTCAAACCGGGAGAAGTTTTAGATGGTTGAAATCTGCAATCCTCTCTGCTAGATGCCACTAAATCCCCCTAAATCTCGCATACTGGACCTTTTAAAGGGTTTCCAAGTAAAGTTCTGTCAGTCAACTAAATGTGATGGCTTTATAAGTAGCTCAGGTTTGATCTATTTTTAATGCTGAATTTAAAACAATAATTCACAATTCAGTTTTGTATCATCTCGGTTATTGCTCCAAGTAATGATTATTATCATGAATGATTCATATAGTAGTTATTTTATAGATTAATTGTTAATGATATGGTTTTTTTTTTAATGAAATATGTATGTCACAAATTATCAGAGCCCATGGTGTTAGCTTGAAATTGTCCATGACCTAGAGATATTCAATTTACAATTATAGAAATCAGAAGAGAAGGACAATACCTCACATTTGGAGCAGCTTCAAAAGCACAATATTTGTCATTTTTGCTAAATAATTAATGTTTATTTGTATTTATTTAGGTCCCCAACAACCACCATTTCCCCAGGTGTTAACATAAATGTATTTACAATACTTTGAATCTAAGCAGTGATTATTAAATTGTTGATCAGCTACTTTATATTATTATTATTTATTAATCAAGTCATTGTTTCAGTATGAATCATGGTGGAAAATAACATCAGGCCAATTAATTGTAGGGTTGGATGATGTGGATAAAACTTCTAACACAATATATTTAAAACTTAATTTGTGATACATCTATATTCTATTCATTGAGTGAGCTGTTGTTGGATAAAATGACCAGAATGAATTACCTGAAAATTCAATGCATTTCATCACATTTATGTAGAAAATAAAGTAAAGTAGTTCTGCCCACTGATTTGCAACATTCTCACAATGGTGTAAAACAACCAGAGAAATGTTTAGGGGAAATATACCTCAATATATAAACATTAAATATATTTAAAATGTTGTGCCAATTAAAAAATATCAGGTTAAGTGTAGACACTGTTGGGCTTGTGCCAGACTCCACGTGTGTTTCTACTTATTAGCCTCTAGCTGTCATCATGTGTGTGTGTCCATTCTCCATGTAGCTGCTGCTGCTGTTTTCACCTGTAGCTTCTGTAGAGCTGCTCTGGCTTTGCTGTGCTCTGGTCTGATCGGTTGGCTCCTGTGTTCTCCAGTTGCTGATTGACCTGTCAGAGTACGTCAATCTAACCTCGCCGGCGGCGCTCGCCTTGGCACAGACCCAGCGGCAACCACCTAAACCACCACCAGACAATACTAGGGCGTCTGCTACACAGTTAGTTAGCGCCCAGACCGACCAGCTAGACAGACCAGTAAGAACATGATTAGCATCCTCCATGTCTGCCTGATCACTAACAGGGGTGGGAAACTTTACTTTATGTGTCTGCAAGCCACTCTGGCTGGTTTTAAAATTCAGATTTTAAGGGAATATAACCTCATAGAGTTGTCAAACAATTAGTGGATGTACTATTAATTTTTCGCTCCTGGGTTTGTCTCATTTTTTGTTTTTCTATATGGAAAATCACTAACTGAAGATGTCAAATAAGGAAAATCATTTTTTAAAAAACACATGTATGTGTTGTCTTTCAAGCCCCAACATTTATCATTTTGGATTTACTGTAAAACCAGGGCTGCAACTAACAACTACTCATTTCCTGCTCTATCAATGTCTTATTTTTTTTTAATTCATCTGTGAATTGTTGAGTCTATAGTCAGTAATTCATCACAACTCCTGTGAGCTAAGGCTAAATTTTCAGATTATTTTTTTGTCTGATCCAAAAAGCAGAGAGTATCACATTTACAAATGTATAAAGTAGAGAAAAGGAAAAAAACTCACAGCTGTAATCAGAGAACGTTAGGCATTTTTGCTCAATTAATGGCTCGATTAATTATTAGAATTTATGTCAAATAATTTTCTGATGAATTACATTCCACTTTTATGTAGTGATTCACACAAAAACCCAGATTTCACGTCCATGCTAAGGGTCTGCTTACTGGCTTTTGCCTGAGCTTCATCCATATCACACAGTCTTCGTCAGCACGTAGAATTTGCAGCATTACCATGGAGCTACAACACTTTGAAGACTTGTTTAGGCCTGCAGCTAATGATTATCTTCATTATCGATTAACCTGCCTGAATTTTTTCACTTAATCAATTAATCATTTTTCAGTGAAATGTCTGTGTAATTTCCAAGAGCCAAAATCATATGTTTTATCTGATCAACAGTCCAAAAATCTGAAGCTATTCAGTTTATTTTAATGTATGACAAAGAAAAGCATCAAATTCTCACATTTTAGAAGCATAAAACCAGCAAATATTTGGCTTTTTTTATTGTTGTTTTGCTCAGAAAAATTAATGAAACTAAACTGAAATTATGATATTATCAGAATAGTTGGCAATTCATTTTTATGTAAATTATCGAAGATTAATTTACCAAGACGTGTTTGTGTTTGCTTAAAGTGCAAACACAAACAAGCAGGATTTTGTGGAACCACAGAATGTTTGTTTTTTTTTTCTTAGGAATAACACATATGAATTTTGAAAATGGGCATAGTTCTCTTTTAAAATTTGCTGAGAAAGTTTGACATCAGAGTTTTGTTACAGTAACACTGGAAACACACTGATCAGCATTGAAGTGCAACCTGTGTTATTCAATAGCTGCTTTAAGCTGCGCCCATTTGATTCTGCAGCAAAGTGTGGCCAAACATAAAGTTGGGGATAGTTTTACTTTTAGAAGCAAATTGTGGCCAAAGAATACCAGCAGCCAATCAGTAAACCGAGTCCTGTGACTCCTGTGACAATGTTCACTTGTGTAACAAAGAATGTCTCTCTGCCTGAGACACACAAATTCACCTCCCCGCCCCAGTAAAATGTAGTTATTGCAGTGAGCTGCACTTAACAGATGCTTTGTGTTTTTTCAGCCTAATGGAGGCGATATTGCCCGGTACTGCAAATATTTACTGAGATCAGGGTTTTCACTTACATAAAGCACTTTATTAATCAATAGTTTAGAGGGGAAAAAAAGCTAAAAAAATATATACAATACTTAGCAAATAATGAGCAAGAAACAATGTAATACATATCAACAATAACTTAAAGAAAACGGAGAATTTTTACATTTCCTATATACATGTGTGACGTGGACATAGAGCAAGATAATATGCAAATTATACTGTAAAATGTTAGTGCAATTATATATCAGATAGTTTAAAAATGTTTGAACGTATATGAGTCCATTGTGAGAGTGCGTATACCTGTATTTTCTGTTCTAATCATTTTATTTTACAGTAGTGACACATTGCCTCTTGAAGTGGCTGCCAAACTGAGGACTTACTGTTTGTGTTTTCCCAGAACAAACCAGTTATTGGTAGACAATTTTTGTAAGTTTCCGCTGGTGTTATCCTCCCACCCTGTTACTGACCTCCCCACATCCCAGTCAGCTGTAGTAGTCCAGTCCAAGGTGAGACCCTAAAACCTGACCCCCAACACCTCTTAGCTCCACTTAACCTTCGAGCTGCTGTGAAGAGGAGGGCAGCCTCCACACTGTCTGTGTGGAAGACTTTCTTTGTGGTTCTTTATGTGTCAGTGATTGTGTGAAATGTGTGTGTTTCATTGACTAATGTTTGTGTGTGTTATTGGTCACCAGGGTGCCAGAGTCGTAGTTTCCCGCTCCTTCGCTGACTTCACGTCTCAGGCTACCTTTGACATCAAGGTGGGGCGAAACTAAAATCAATGTAAAAAAAAAAAAAAAGGAAAAAAAAAAAAAAAGAAAACCTCAACAAAAATACTGCAGAGTTGGCTGTGCTACATCACCTGTTTAATTTTGGAAGATACAATATGTCAGTAGCCATTTTATAAACTATTGAAAAAGTATTTTTTTCCCCTCATAACTGTCCTGGCCAGTAGAAATGCGACCTGCACCGTCTGGAGGAGGGTCCCCCGTTAAAGGCGGAGATGACGCGGGAGCAGGGCCTGCAGTATTATCGCATCATGCAGACTGTGAGGCGCATGGAGCTCAAAGCTGATCAGCTCTACAAACAGAAGATCATCAGAGGCTTCTGTCACCTGTATGATGGACAGGTGAGAACATACAGAACAGTCCGGATAAGAAAGTTTCCTCACTCACATTTGATTTTACTAAAGATTTTCTAAAATTCAACATGAGAATCACATGCCTACTTACTTTTTAACACATTGCACAAAACTAAATATTAAACATTTTTTACTATCATTAATATGTATTAAAGTTGATGTGTCATTATGTTTAAATTTCCTTCTTTACAAATCCAAGATACATTTTTATGCATCTTACTATTTAATAACAATAATAATAAACTTAAATTTATATAGCACCTTTCAAAACGCTGTTACAAAGTTCTAAATAAAGCTGAACATATTTAAAATCGGCAAATCAAACTACAGTGTGATTAAAATATCACCAAGATAAAAAAATAAAATATAAGAAGGCTAAAGCGAAAATCAAGACACACAAAATGAAGCCTTAGTTTGCCTTATCAATTTGTAATTGCACTGTAAATTCGGCATCGTTTGATAAAACAAATTATTGCAAAAGTTTTAAAAAGCAAAATATTTAGCATCAGTATATTTTGCTTTAACTGTAGTAAAATTTATGGACAGTGAAAATACCACACAAATCCACTCATAGCTTTTATAACAAGACAGAAAAAGTTAAAACACACATAAAAATAAAAGAAAAAAAGTGTGAATTACTTGTTCAAACATGAGAAAGGAGACAGACAAGAAATATGAAAGTTAAAATGGGAAAAGAATGTCATTTATTTACCACATTTATAAAGGTGCACTGAAATCCGCAGTTTTGTTTTGTGAGAATAGTAAAATGCTCCACTAACAGTTCTATTGTTTATCTCCTTGTCTTCTACAGGAAGCATGTGCAGTTGGCATTGAGGCGGCCATCAACCCCTCTGATCACCTGATCACCGCCTACCGCGCCCACGGCTACACATATACCCGGGGTGTCTCCATCAAAGAAATCCTGGCCGAGCTCACCGGTGAGACAAAACATAAAAAAAATCAAAAAATGCGTGGATGAATTTAACTTTTTACACACCTGCAGTGCTATCATTCCCCATCTTCATTTCTTCCTCAGGTCGTAGAGGCGGAGTGGCCAAAGGAAAAGGAGGGTCGATGCACATGTACGCTCCACATTTCTACGGAGGGAACGGCATAGTGGGAGCACAGGTAACACACAGCACAGCTGCACCAAAACAACATTCAACATGTCTAATTGTGGTTTACTATCAACTATAAATAAGCTGGTCCCCAGATTTAAGGCATGATAAAGCCTGTTTTTAAAGCAACAGTTCACCTAAAAACGATATAAGAGCGCCCAAAAAATTTAAGCATATCAGAGCAAATACTTTGACTAGTAATAAAACGTTTCAAAAACTTGTAGCAATAGTAGTTGTGTTCTGGATTTCCAAGAACCCATGAATGAATACAAGACACTTAGGACTTAGTTTATCTGACATTTTATAACCTTTTTGCCATTTTATGTTCGTACTCTGTCAAACTCTGTTTGCACTGATATGCTTTAATTTTTTCAGGCACTCAGCTCTCCTTAAAGGGACAGTTCACCCCATAATTAACATATTTTTCCTCTTAGCTGTAGTGCTACCTTTTCAGTCTAGATAGTTTTGGTGTGAGTTGCTAAGTGTTTGAGATATTGGCCGTACAGATGTCAGCCTTCTCTCCAGTACAATGGAACTACAGATAAGAGGAAAAATATGCATTTCTGATTTAGGGGGGAACTGTCCCTTAAATGCCACTTGATAAAGCAAGGAGTAGTTCACCCAAAAACAAAACAAATGCGTAAGACACCATTAAAAGATTTATAGTCAGTACTTGTTATTGACTCAGCTGTGAATTGTCCAGGTTCCTTTAGGAGCTGGCATTGCTCTGGCCTGCCAGTACCAAGGCAACGATCAGTTGTGTGTCACGCTCTACGGAGACGGGGCAGCCAATCAGGTAAATATCCTGCCGAGTTCTCAAAAATCCCATAATTGATTAATATGAATACATTTGCTCAACCCAAGCCCTTCCCTGACTGTCCTCTCTGATCCAACCAGGGTCAGCTGTTTGAGTCGTTCAATATGGCCGCCCTGTGGAAGCTGCCGTGTATCTTCATCTGTGAGAACAACAAGTACGGCATGGGGACGTCAGTGGAGAGAGCGTCAGCCAGCACTGACTACTACAAGAGAGGAGACTTCATACCAGGAATCAGAGTACGACACAAACACAGCAGAGACATAAAACAGCAGCAGAGTTTAACATGGAGGTCTTGGGCAGTAGTTGCAGCGTGTCTGTTGGCCGTACGCTGCAGCTGGCCTGTATGGACCTAGACTATAACAGGAGGAGACTGACAGTCTGTCCTGGCAGTTGCAGGTGTGAGCATCCATACAGCTGTCTGATGCTCATGTATGATACTGCACACAAAAAAACATTAGCAGAAGAAGTATTTAGATGCTTTAACTATGTAAAAGTACTAATTCAACACTGGAAAAATACTCCACTACAAGTTAAAGTCCTGCATTTAAATCCTTACTTACTTGAAGTATGAATAATATAAATATTGATGGAATAAGAAAACACTGACAAAATGGGACATTTTACTGTACTAGCTGATGTTTCTGGATTGATGTTACTGCTGCATTCATTGTCATTTTACTGCTGTAGATGATTAAGGTTGAGCTCATTTTAACTCCTTTATAAACTGTTGGGTAGTTTAATCTACAGTAATGCATCGTATTCTATAAAATCATATGTTTGTAGTGTGGCTGTCCTGTGAGAACCATGTATCTCTTAAAAAGTCAGAAAAACCCTGTTTTCAGCTTTGTGATAAGTGTTCCAGGAGATCCAAGAGGGTTTTTTAAGGGTTTAAAGGCTCTGGCACACCAAGCAAACAGTCAGCCGTAAGTCAAAGTTGGGCCGTCAGTGCAGTGTGTCCCGCACCGTTGGCCCTTGTTGGCCCCCGTTGGCTTTTTTTTTTTCTTTTCTTTTTGGACTAATTCTACATGATGAATCAATGTCAGAGCCCGTCGGCAAAAGGAATACTATGATTGGCAGTTCAGCTCACTGCATGAGAAGAGAAGTGGAAGTGAGGAAAATAAACAGAGAGCTAAAATCAAGAGGGAGTAAGACTAAAACAAACTTGTCACGTAAGGTAAGATTATTTTTCTTTAGCCATTGAGCATTTAGCAGAAATGCTTCCTGATGGGTTTGTGTCAGTGTTCTCTGGTGCACAATATGCTCTGTTCTTTCAACTCTGGATTGTGTTGTTAATGTGCTAACTGGCTAACTAGCATTGAGATGGTCCTCTGGTTTCCCTTTTTTGAATGACGTTTACAGATTACCAACTTCTGCTGGTGTAGAGAGTTATTTTGTCTGAAGCAGAATGTACAGGCATGTTGACTGACGGCTGTAGTCTTTGCAGTGTGTTCATGTGCAACTTTTGTCGCTGAGACACAGTGACATTAGGCAACGCAGCAGGGGGCCTTTGTTGCCTCATATTCTCTGAAGTTGGTTTGTTGTGTCTGGGCCTTAAGAAGGAGAAGAGTTTTCTCAACTAAAAGGCTGACAGTGTTAATGTTTCTGCTTGTTTTGACCTGTTTGTCCTTGTTTTCCTGTCTCTTAGGTGGATGGGATGGATGTCCTGTGTGTCAGAGAGGCCACCAAGTTTGCTGCAGATCACTGCAGATCTGGAAAGGTGAGCTGAGCTGAGTACATAAAGCTGCACTGGATAATAGTGTGAAGCAAAAGATTGAAATGTAAATCAAATGACTTGTGTGTTTCAGGGTCCGATTGTAATGGAGCTGCAGACTTACCGTTACCACGGACACAGCATGAGTGACCCAGGTGTCAGGTGAGTAACCTTATCTTTCTCATAAATGACTTAATCCAGTCATAATTCTCCTCTGTCTCTCTTTTGTTTCCTCATTTTAATTTCAGTCTCTTCAAGTGTAGAGACAAGAAAATGATTCCCTTCACTGTCATTTTCCTCATCTCTCCTGTTAACAAATTTTCTATCTTTCTCTGAGTGAACAAGTAGAGAAAGGTATTGTCTCATAAAGCCACCAGACTTCGTTCTTGATTTTCTAACATAAAATGATCCTTGCTCTCTGTAGTGCATCTGATTAGATTTCAACAGCATCGTGGTGTGTAGACAGGTTTTATTGAGGATGGAAGACAGTAGGTGCTGATGTAACAAATATGGGCTAGGCGGTTGACTACGGCTACAATAGCGGCAACAGAAGTCTGTTCTTTAGAGGAGCCTGGATTGTGAATGAATGGATGAGACAGTAGTGCAGTTTGAGTGTCTGTATTCAGAGAATATTTATAAAAAAAAAACAACCAATACAAACAATACACCATTTCCAATATTCAAAAAAAAAATGGATTACCCACAATAAATCAGATGCACACAATAAAGTTCTCAAGGAAAAACGTTCAGTTCATATCCTTTTAATCCAAAAAGGTTTGTCCAGATCAGTAGGTGTGAGACTTTGTCCTACCGGTTCATTGTTGTCTTGTCTTTAAAAAATCAAAGTTACAATAGTAACCAAACCACCTTAACCTAGTACCCCAGTACCATGTTAATATTCACAGTCAAAGTAAAAAATCAAAGTCAAAATGCACCTTTTATAATTCATCAAAACATTCAATATTAAATTTCAAACTACTCAAGCAGAGTAAGACTCAAGTGTTTCAATAATTGCGCAATATTCACTCATTCATTAAATACGTAGCTACGTTCACATAAATGTGTTAATGATGACCAAACCTCATAGCCGTTGTAGCGTCAATCAGAAAAGTGACGTAACTGTTCAAAACAAGAATAACGCTCTAAACTACATGAGCGAGTAATTAAACTAAAATATTATCTACAATTCGGCTGTCTTATTTTAAACAAAAATCATCGTTTACCTTCGAACCGAGTGGTCAGAGCTGAGCTTCCATGCGCGGTCCGACAGGAAATCCGCAGAGTTTTCCAGATGGAGTATTGAACGGGTTGAGTTCAATAACGACTCTGGTGAAACAGCGCGTTAGAGAGCAATTACACGGACAGTTATATGGTTTAAACAATCGGAACTTGTCGGCAAAGGACTCACCGGTGGCTGACGGTTTCAAATGATCGATTCAGAGAGCTCCAGTCAATAGTGTTGTGACGTTCATGAACGAACTGATTCTATTGAACGGCTCGTTAACATGAACGATGGGAACCGAGTCGCAGCTGGGAACCCTTTTTTTTTTTTTTTTAATATCACTGTGTGCTCCTCCTTTGCTCCTCCCCTGAGCAAAATTCATTGTAGCCTGCTTTGTTTTTTAATGTTTATTTGTAAGGTCACGGTGTTGCATGAATAACAAGTCATGGTAGCTTTACACACATACAAACAGTTTGTATAAAGGGTAAATCCAAAATAGTGATGTCACTGTCAAAGCAGAGTGATATGGCGCAACCTTGTGGAATATTTACAATGAATCCAGATCAGACTTTAAAATCTAGTCCACACATGTCAAATGAGGTTATAATCAATATTTCAGAATAATTCAAACTCAGATATTGGTGGGATATCTAATTTTGTATTATTTTGTTCCAAATCTTACCCCATCATACCTCCCAGTGATTATTTCCAAGATAAAATGAGTTACCACCAGGCTGGCTTCTTAAAACTTAATAAATATAAAAATCAGTCATATGAGCCAGTTTTTTGAACGGCTCTTTGAAAGGAACGGCTCACCAAGATCCGGCTCCCCTCAAAGAGCCATAAATCCCATCTCTACCAGTCAAATGTTTGAGACGCTGACAGTAACATGCCCAGTCACAGTGGAGATGGAGGAGGAAGTGAACTCTGTGACCCGTGATTCAAAGGAAGTTTGGGGTCACGGGAAGTGGGCCCGCAAAATAAATAAATAAATAAAATGAATAACTGAATGCGGGCTACACTGATATATGGGAAAAATATCTTGAAAAATGAGTGAGATTTTGTATATTTAATTTCAGGTAACATGGATTAACCCCTGCTTGTGTTGGTAACACAATAAGTCCTTGGAAATTCTGGGATACATTTATTAGTAAAGACCTGTGGGCCCACAATATATATGCTTAGATGTTTTAACATACTGTTTTTGTGTTACCGTCGGTGGGAAAAGCACAAAAAAAGGAAAAGAAAGTATATGTAAATATCATATGCACCTTTTGTAAAGAGTTGTTTACATTTGTTGTTTACATTCTTGTCTGTACTGTGTCAAAAATGTGAAAACGTTGATTAAATATGAATTATGGAAAGAAAGAAAGAAAGAAACTCACTTGCTACCACTGGAAAATCCTTTTTTTTGATGTTTAACAAAGAATAATAAAATAAAACAATAAATAATAAAGTTTTATATCATTTTTTTTGTCTTCAAATTGTTTTTGGATCATATTATCTCAGTTCAGGTCTCATCAGTTCAATATTAAAAAAATGTGTACATTATTTGATTGGTGTCTTCCTGTCAATGACCCAGCAGGGAAGTTTGACTTGTGTTGTGATGTGACTCCCTGCAGCTACCGCACTCGTGATGAGATTCAGGAAGTCCGCAGTAAGAGTGACCCCATCACCATGCTGAAAGAGCGCATGCTCAGCAACAACATGGCATCTGTAGAGGAGTTCAAGGTAAGCGCACACAAGACTTTCTACAGTCTGTTTTAGAAGACACCAGCATCAGTCGCTGAGCTTTCACAGCTTTCTTTTCTTTAGATGACTCAGTATATAAAATAGACTTCCTACATCAACAAGACAAAGAACCACAATCTTAATGACAAGGAAAAACAAAGTATGTAACAAATTTATTTACCCCACACATCAACAATAAGCTTAACCTTTGTATTGTCACGTGTTAAGTGAACCTGTATGAAATATGGCAAATATAAATACACATGCATCATGTCTCTTCAATGCCATTCATCTTTAGATGGATAGATACTTACTGACAGTCTGTATTACTTACATACTTATGCAATTACACAGTCAACTACATACTTACTTAATTACATACCTGCATATTTACTCAGTTCCTTTATTTATCCCTTGGATGAAATTCTCATGTCACAGCAGCAGTACATGAACGAATCGACACTGAACAAAGGAAAGTGCAAAGAAACAAACTTAAAAAACACAAGTATTAGCATAAGAGTCACAAGTATAAAACATTCCCTTTAAACATGCACAATGTGCAAATTGCTGTAAGGTGTGCAAACGCATGTTATTATGAGTAATAAGTTCAAATGAAGTATTGCACTTTGGCAGAGAATATTGAATACTGCCATCTTTTATCCATTTTTTTTAATTATATCCTTGGTTGCATTATTGTACATCTATCCAAGTTCTTAAGCTCTTAACCAACTGAGCCTTGATTATCTGCTACGTATGGTGCCCAATTTAGACTTTGTTCCACTTTTTACCCTGAAATATTAACTCCAATGACATGCATTCACTGGTGTTCTGCCTGACAGGAAGTGGAAATTTGCTGGTGCAACAAACATTTAATTTTGCATAACTGTGTAGGACTCAATAACAAAGTCTGGAATCTGAGAGGGTGAAACTGCGGGGTAAAAATAATTTACATATTTGAAATCATAGTTCAAACTTCTAATTTAAACCTCTTGTTGCACAATTAATCTGCTTTGTATGAAGGTAACACCTGAAAGCATTAACTTGCATAGGTCACTACTAAAAGTTTTCGCTTACACTTGTGGAAACTGCGCACTTTGTCACTTCTGGTGTAAAAGCTTTGTCAGAATTTCTTAAGAAAATGTGAGTTGAGGTAGATGAGAAATAGATGTGTTCTTGAGTGTATGTGACCTAAATAGAAATGCTGAACCACAGAAGCACCTACACATTTGTCTACATGTATGTCTGACTTCATCTTGTTTCTTTTTTGGCTGTATGTGTTTTTATAGAAAGTAAGGTTACCATGACTTGGCTAACAAAAATGTAGAATATTGTCATCAGTCAGAAAGGTGCAGTCACTTGATATTTTGATTGAGTCACTAAAAACACTGATAAGTTAAATGTGATGCTCCTTTGTGTCGAAAGGGGCCAGTTGAGGTGGTTCGAGCATCCGATCAGGATGCCTCCCAGACACCTCCCGTTAGAGGTGTTCCAGGCACGAACAACTGGTAGGAGCTCCTTGGGCAGACCCAGAGCACACTGGAGGAGTTGTATATCTCGTCTGGCCTGTGAGCATCTCAGGATTACCCAGGAGGAGCTGGAAAGCATTGCTAGGGAGAGGGACATCTGGAGTACTTTGCTCAGCCAGCTGTCCCTGCCACCTTGCCCCAGATAAGCAGATGAAAACTGATAGATGCCAGGTCACAAATGAAAGTTTTAGCTTACTCTTGTGGAAACTGTGCGTTTCATCATTTCTGGTCTGAAAGCTTTGTCAGAATTTCTTAAGAAAATATGAGTGGAGGTTGATGAGAAATAGACGTGTTCTTGAATTAATCTGACCTCGCTGAACAACAGAAGCGCCTACACATTTGTCTACACACATATCTGACCCCATATTGTTTCTTTGTTTGGCTTTATGTGTTCTTTTAGAGTTTAAGTAAGGTAACCCTGACTTAGCTGAACAAAAATGTGGAGTCTTGTGATCAGTCAGAAAGGTGCATAAATCCTCAGTCACTTGATATTTTGATTGAGCTACTAAAAACACTGATAGATTAAATGTGATGCTGGTCTGAAAGTCACTCAAAGGCTCAATTCAGGTAAGACTGAAGTTAGGAAAGACAATGTCTTTAGATTCTCTTAAAACAAAAACTGACACTCAGTGGAACATCTATTTACATTTTACTGTTTTAAAGTGTAGTTGGTCACCTCAATCTACTTTTCGATTAAAAAAATAAATAAATAAAACCCCACTGTGTTGTGGAGCCTTTTGAATTAATGTGACTCCTCTCTGTGTCCTGTCAGGAAATTGACATTGCGATCCGTAAGGAGGTGGAGGAGGCGGCTCAGTTTGCTACATCAGATCCAGAGCCGCCACTGGAGGAGCTGTGCAACCACATCTTCAGCAACGACTCAGCGCTGGAAGTCCGCGGGACAAACCCCTGGGTCAAACTCAAGTCTGTCAGCTAGACTCACACACATACACTCCAAATATACGCACACTGACCTTCCACCCAGTGTTAAACGAAGTCCCTCCAACTGCACCCACATCCTGACTTTTAACGCTCAGCACCTCCTTCCTCGATTGTAGATCATTACGCACCTTAATAGGACTCAGCTCTGACCTGAAACCTGTCAGTGTTATTTATTTATAGTTTTATATATAGATATTTAAGATATATTCTTTGTCTGTGTTTGTTCTGCCGTATATCTGACCAGTCTGTTGGCGTTGTATCATCATCATCAAGCTGTGGAGAGCTGCTGCCAGATGTTTGTGGTGTATGAGAAGATTCTTCAGAGGGCGCTGTGTGTACTTTAACAAGTTTTAAATACTGCAGGGCTGCGCAATATACACACAAAACTTAGGTTTCCTCTTTTTTTCCCACTGAATAGCTTGTCTGTTTTAAATTCCTCCACTTTTTGGCAGCATTTTTAGCTGTTTTTCCAGCTTTAAATGTTAAGTAAAATTTGGACTCTGCTTGAAGAAAATTGTCTGAATCACTATTTTCCTTCCAAGAAACCATCGGCAGCTTTTTAAAAAAAAAAAAACAACAAAAAAGAATTGTGGATATTTTAATGTCGGTCATAAAGCAATCAATCAATCACTAGAGTCTTTGACTTTTCAGACCTCTTTTGCTTTAGTTTTAAGATGTTTTTAAGAGACTGCAGGAAAGAATTCAGTATGTTTTGTGTCAGCGTGCTGGAAATGCACCACAGGGCAAGATGAGCAAAATACATTTACTCTACTGTACTGTACTTAAGTACAATTTTTAGGTAATTATTAAATTTTCTGTTACTTTATACTCCTATGTTTCAGACGGAAATATTTGTACTCACCTGTATTTACTAGATACAGTTAGTGACTTTGCAGATTCAGATTATTAATATGAATTTATTAACAAATCTATTCTGATTTATTATTCGAGAGTAGAAGAAGCAATACAGTCATTCAAATGAGCTGCAGCTGCAACATTAAAGTGATGAACACATAAATGCATCAGTAATATAATCTATGAGAAGTATAATTCTGAAATGAGCCATTCTGCATAATGAGTACTTTTACTTTTAGTACTTTAGGTATATTTTGGTGCTTTTGTTCTCCAGTAAAATACAGGACAGTTACATGTTGCAGCGATTTGACATGGCCGTACTGCTACTTTTAAGTAAAAGATCTGAATACTTCTCCCCCCACTAGTTTGAAAGGACATGTATGTGTATTTATTTTGAGTCGGAGGAATTAGGGTTGCAACAGTTAGAAATTTTCATGGTTCAATAACCATCTCGGAAAATATCACGGCATACGGTATTACACAATTTATTGTTATTATCAGTTAGTGACCTTTCAAAGAAATGAAAACAGGGTTTTTTGAGTTGAACAAAAGTTTTATTATAATTTAAACTGGAGATGGAAGTAAGTCCCCCTTTTTAGTATTAAATGCAATGAGATTCTCCGTCTGGCAGACAGATACCGAAGATGAGCAAATGTATGATTACCATAAATTTTCACACCCCTATAAATAGGGTTCCCATGGTCATGGAAAATTTGGAAAAGTCATGGAATTTCACAATCACATTTTTTCCAGACCTGAAAAGTTGTGGAATTAGTCTAAGTCATTGAAAGTCTTGGTGAAGTAAAAAGTATAATGCAGTTGCTACAGTAATCTTATGTGGATAACACTCTGCATAATGTAACATAACAGCATATTAATTTTCTTCAGCTATGTACATAACATAGCTCTAACATGAATCAGTGTGTGACAGAGTTTTGTTTACCATCAAGTACATTTCATTAGTTTCTCCTGGGGTTTGTCTCTTCCTTCCTGTATGCCAGCTAGCTGAAATGATGTTTGAATAGAGTTTGAATCTGGTATGTAAATGTTGGGCAAGTGGGACAAGAACAAAAACAATCTTCATTTTGGGTCCTTGGAAAGTCATGGAGAACTATGAAAATGTGTGGAACCGCAGGTATAATGTGAAACTGGAATACTGCTGCAACAATAGTAGGAATTTATCAAATGATGATTTCTGAATATTGAGATGACTGTTGATCAGTCCTTAAAAGCCTAGATTTAAATATTTAACACTAAGCAAAGGTTTTATTCCAGAGTGACCCACAGGAAACTACAGACCAGAAAATCCCAATATTCACATTTCCATCCAGCTACTGAGCAAAGAGACGGAAAATTCTAGCGATTAAATAAAAAGTTGAAAGTTTTGAGAGAACAATTCTTCTCTGCTGAAAGATGGATGCACTACTTCTATATTATTTAATAGTTTACTTTCTGGACACATTTTAGTCAGTGGTTTTATGTGACTGCTACATGTAATGATGCACTTAAAATATGGAGCGACTATTTGTGTTTTCAAATTTGGTATATGGGAAAACTTGAACGAAAAAACAGCAGTAGCACTAACCAGATTTTCTGTTCCTCGCTACAAGTAACTCTCTGGTCCTTTATAAGAAAGTTTACTGTTACTGAACCTGAACTTGTACAGATATAAAGCTTTACTTGACTGTTTGTGTGTTTGTGTTGAACTGAAAGACTGTTTGGCTGTAAAATAAATGCAATCAGAAAGTGTGGAGACGAATACTGTGTGTTTGTTGTGTCTTTATCTCATCAATAGCAGAGTTCATAAATCTCTTTCTAAACGCTTGGAGCTTGTTGAATGGAAACAGACATACTTTTGTGAAATTGCAAATTTGAACATCTTGTTTTATGAAGTACATCTAATTAAGTACACATTTGATGTACTTATACTTTACTTGATTCTTTTCTTTTCTTGCTACGTAATACTTCGACTCCACTGTGTCTCAGAGGGAAATATTGTACTTTTTGCTCCATTACATTTCTCAGACAGCTTTATTGAACAAATTAAGATGTTTTGTTTTGAATTAAACTACCCAACAGTACATACAAGTACAGCTGACACTATAGTTGACTAATCAATTGGTCTGCTGATAGAAAATTAATTGGCAACTAATGTATTTTGATGGTTGATATCATTTTTCATATACTTCCTCCCTCACTGACCACTAGATGTCACTACCAGACTGCAAAATCCACTTTTATTTATTGACAGTCATGGCAACCAAACATTACATCAAAACCGTGTGTTAATCAAACTGAAGTGTTAATTTATTGGTAGTTAATGAAAATCCTCACATGCACACAATTTAAAAAAGCTGTGATGACAGTATATGAGTTAATGTGTAAGAATAAAACGTATCTTAATGATTATGAATGTACAGCTTCACATTTGACTGCTCATTTTGAAAAGACTTGGTTCATCATTAGGGTACTCTCTCTCTTTGTGTATTATAGCAGTAACAATAAAAAATAATTACTGTTTATTCTAATTATTAGCAAGGCAACAAGGTGCCTCACATAAGAAGAAACAAACATGTGAAAGCAGTAAAGTAATAGAGATAACCTACACTACTAAAGAGGTTTGATCCATAAAAATTACCCAGTCAGTCAAGACTTAAAAAGAGTCCAAGCACAGAAACTTCACCACTTAATGCAAAAACGCAACTTTTTAAAAAGTCATTTTTAGTAGAGCTCTAGAGAAAGTCACTGAGGCATGGAGGCACATTTCCACAGGGAGGTTGTTCTGGAGTTTCCTGACAGCAGATTCTCCTTTTTTAAGTGAGTGACATTGAGGGTCTGCAGAGTTTAGTTGCAGGATGTGAGATTGAGTGTCTGGGCACAAAGCTCGAATATGTTCTGGAGCCAGACCATGAAGTTGCTTTTAAAGTAACAAATGAAATATTATGTGGAATTAATGGGCTACAGACATACACTAAGTATCATAAATTATTCATATATATTATTCTAGTGAACACTCTTTTAGCAGATAGTATCGTATTGCTCTTACATGTACTATACTTTGTTGACTTTGCTGCTACTTATCACACCACCATGTCACTTGATTTGAGACATTACTTCACTACTAGTTTAAGTACAACTCTGGTTGTGAGTACTATGTGTAGGCTATATGTACTGTTTACTATGCATTTTTGAGTTTATCTGCTATGCCTATACTCACATGGGTTATATATATATGTATATATATATGTGTGTGTGTATACATATATATATATATATATATACTTTTAAATTCACATTAAAAATCTAGTGTTATATTTATTATGTTCAAAATGCATCATGACATTTCACTCTTAATTATAATATTATGATTAGTTTAACACAATATATAATCCTTCATTCGAGTCCAAAAAGTAACTGAATGTACAGAGGAATGTGCCAAAGTGGAGTTTACTTCGCTTTGCTATTACCTAAGGAAGACGCCTCCTAACGTGACGCAGCCGTGACGTCGCGGTCTGACGGACAGGTAAGCCGACACCGGCCGCCATATTGGGAAACAACGGAAGTGAGTGAGTGAGAGAGGGAGAGAGAGAGAAAAACAGATAGAGCAATATCTGAGCGTGCGTGTGTGTGTATGTGTGCGTGTTGAGTCAATCAGTTTCCGAAAAAGGGCGTCCTCCTCACTGCTTTCTCTCATGTTTGTCTCCCCGGAGGAAGGGGCGGTCTCAGCGCCGCAGCAGATCCGGAATTAGAAGGTGTTCGCTCGCTCGGCTCCACTCGACTCGGTCGTTCGGTGGGCTCCGCGGGCGGTTCGGTTCCACAGGAGAGGCAGAGGAAACAGAACTAGCTTAAAAGCATTTTCAAGAAAAGAAACAGAGGGACGGGAAGAGAGAAGCCGGGTGGACTGAAAGTGTCGACCGAGGCAGGGACGACGAACCGGGGCAGAAAAGAGGAATAAAAAAAGAAGAAAGAAAAGTAGCAGAAGAAGGAGGAAAAGATGCCTCTGGCTCAGTTGGCGGATCCCTGGCAGAAGATGCCTCTGGGGGGGACAGTCGGAGAGGTGAGACATTAGTTAAGCACCTTGGTTTTTCCTCTTGTCAAACTGACTGACAGTTGAGTGACTTTCAGTTGGGCTGCAGTGATATAGTGGACAGGTAGTACTGAGATACACCGTACAGGGTGTAATTTGAAAATAAAATGCACCACAATTCACCTTAAAGTCACTATTAGATAATTAGTCTACTGTTAAAGCTCCTATAGGGATGCCAAGTTAGATTAAAAACAACCGCAGTTCCCCTTAAAGTCACTATTAGATAATAATTCTGCTCTTAAGCTCCTATAGCGATGCCAGGTTAGATTAAAGAGCACCATAATACACCTTAAAGTCACTTTGAGATAATAAATCTATTCTTAAAGCTCATATAGGGACACTGAATTTGATTACAATGCATCAAAAAGCACCACAATACACCTTAAAGTCCTTATTAGACAAGCATTCTGCTCTTAAAACGCATATGAGGATGATGCTATTTTACTATTAGTGCTCATGTAGAATGTCATATCTGAATGAAATATACTAAAAAGTAATGTAGTACACCTTAAAGTCACTATAGGATAATTATACTATACTCCAAGCCATTGTAGGGATGCAAAATTAGATTAAAATACACCAAAAAGAACCAGAGGCTTAAAGGCAGTATTAGGTCATTATTATACTCTTAAAGCACCTATAGGGATGCCAAGTTCAATTAAAATACACCAAAATGCACCATAATACATCTTATGTCACTATTAGGCCACTGTTTTACTCTCAAAGCTCCTATAGGAAGGCCAAATTAGATTAAAAAGCATTAACATTTAAAGCACTGAAATTCACTTACAGTCACTATTAGATAAATATTCTACTCTTAAAGCCTGTATAGGAATGCCAAATCCGATTTAAAAGCACCACAATACACCTTAAGTTACTACTCTGCTAGTAAAGCTCCTATATAGATGCCAAATTAGATTTAAAGGCATCATAATACACCTTTAAGGTATTAACAGATAATTATTCTACCTCTAAAGCTCCAAGAGGGGTGCAATATTAGATTAAAATACACAAAGAAGCACTGTAATATACCTTAAAGTTAGTTTTAGATGATTAGCCTAATCTTAAAGCTTCTAAAAGGATGCCAACTTTGACTACAATGTTCTCTAAGGCACCACAATACACCATGAAGTCACTATTAGATAAATATTCTACTATTAAGACCCCTAAAGAGACTCCAAATGAAATTAAAATACACGTAAAAGCACGATAGTACACCATAAAGGCACTGTTAGATAATTAGTTTACTCTTAAAGCTCCTATAGGGACTCCAAACAAGATTAAAATACACCTAAATGCACCTTAATCATCTTAAACTCACTGTTAGATCATTATTCTACTCATAAAGCTCCTATAGTGAAGCCAAAAGAGATGAAAATACACCTTAAAGCATCACTCTGAGCCACAAAAATACTATTAGAAGTATTAAACATGTGTTTACAGGAGAGTTAGTGTTACCATAAACTACCAAATTTGTGCTAAAATCTCAGTGCTCGTAATACACGAAACCAGTAGTGCTCTGGAGATACGACACAAGTACCATCAAGTCCCTAAAATCTACCAAATATGTACTTCTATAGGAATACTAAGGCCATATTACAGTGCTTAACTGTGAAGTTGAAGTAATCATAAAATGTAACAACGTATTGCAACATACTTGATTTTCCTTATTGATTATTCTGCAGGTGCTTCTGTAAGATTTCTAATTGTGTAGCCTCTAAAATGTCAGATAATAGTGAAAAATGCTTATCACAAAGCTTATCACTTATCACAACAGTCTAAAACCCCAAAATATTTAACTTACAATCATACTAGACAAAAAAGCAGCAAATCCTCACAGAATTCAGGAGCTGGGACCACAGAATATTTGATATGTTGGGGAAAAATTGCTGAAATCATGCATTGGTTATCAAACTATTTTTTTGTCGACCCCTTTATTGTTTCAGCTCTACAATAATGTGACGATAGGTCATTATTAGGGAACACAAATGCTTTTTCAGAGCACGAATAGTGCTAAGAATTATGCCATATGTAGACAAAAGCACCTTGAAGTGACCTTCAAGTACCACTGAGTGTCATAAAGTCACTGCGAGTCACTCTGGGGATGTTTATAGTGATTTTTTTGGTGCAGTATAAAGCAGGAAAGTGCGTGGAAGCCTTTGTAGTGGTTTTGATTTGATTTGAGGAAGACTGTTGGATTGTTCTAAAAAAGAAAAGGGCTTTGTTTCCAAAATTAAGACTCAAGATTGAAACACAAACAGCTCCTGTGTGAGCATTTTATTTCCAGTTCTTCCTTCCTACAAGTTTTTGAATCTTGATAAAGAGCAGGAGGCGGTGCCACTGCGGCCGCATGATTCAGGAAGAGCTTACGTCTATATGTGTGTGTGTGTGTGTGTGTGTGTGTGTGTGTGTGTGTGTGTGTGTGTGTGTCCACTTCCTGTATGAGGTGTCACAAGGGCTGCATGGAGAAATGGTTGTGTGTGTGTGTGTGTGTGTGTGTGTGTGTGTGGTGTGTGTGTGTGTCACTCTGTAGGCAGATTGTGAATAATCAAACCTGATTCATGATAGGCTGAAACGCAAAAATGCACTGAGTCACAAAGCCAGCTTCTCTTTTTCTGTCTCGCCTCCTAACAAGATCGTACCTGTTCGCAGCTTTTCCCACGTGGCCTCTT